ACAGAAGTGTCTAGGCTTCGCCTGGATTGGACCAACCGATTTTCTATACATCGAAACCCAGCGGGACTTCTTCGGGTCGCCCGCGGCTCGTCCCTTTAGAGACCTGGTTCCCCGGCTTCATTCTTTTCCAAGTACCCGAATACAGAGTCCAAAACAATGAGCATACATGCGTGGGCATGGAATGTTTCTTTCCTCCCGAGGGCTTCCTGGCTCGACGTCAGCATGATTTACTTTAGAAGAACAATTTTCGTTACTCCAACAGCTTTCTTCTTTTCTATTCCAGTTAAAATCGCAATCATCTCCGGTTCTTATCCTCCTGTAGGTACTGAGACGCGAATAGAACATTGGAAAAACTCATTGTCTTTAATATCATTTTTTTCTTTCATTTCTATATCCATTTTTGCTTCGTGCATTCGTTCTTATTATTATCAATAATCTTGTCTCCCTTGACAGGTATGTGTTTTCCTGGTTTGTCTATGTTGGAAGAACGGCTATCTGACCTGGACAGTCAAACATGGTCGGCGAAGGCAAAGCCGAGCGTGCTGACGCTCGCCGCCGCAGCTCACGTATCTCTCGCGCATCTCTGAGCGGAGACTGGAACAGTCTGGACGAGTATGGCAAGCTGGTCAAGTATGTGTCGACATTCCGTGATCCCAATGCAATAGATGAAGAGGAAGGCGAAGTGGTTGAGAAACGAGTTTGGTATGCCCCGTGGATGAAGCGAAAGGTCCATGTCAAAAAGGTCGAAACAGAACCAGGCAAATTCCCGGATGAATGGACCATGACGGATATCCGAGAGGGACTTTCTAGCCATGAAGTTCCACTGCGTCGCCGTCGGTCTGGATGGAATGAATTGACAGCCGAGAAGGAGAATCCCATTGCTAAGGTCCTTTCTTACTTCCAGGGTCCAATTCTTTACGGTAAGTGCTTATCGCCCTTACCTTGACTACCACGCTGACCTGAGCATAGTCATGGAGTTGGCTGTTTTGCTTGCTGCTGGTCTAGAAGACTGGATTGACTTTGGTGTTATCATTGGTATCCTGTGTCTGAACGCAGCAGTAGGCTGGTATCAAGAGAAGCAGGCTGCCGATGTAGTTGCGAGCCTCAAGGGTGACATTGCCTTGCGTGCGCAGGTTATTCGTGACAGCACTCAGCAAGAATGTCTCGCTCGAGAGTTGGTACCAGGTGATGTGGTAGGTTTATTTTGGATGCGCCCCAACATTAGTATACAGCAGACTCTTTGGCTGACTCTGATCAATAATTTAGGTCATTATTGGTGAAGGCCAAGTCGTACCTGCAGACTGTCGAGTTATCTGTGACGTCAAGGATGAACACGGCTGGGAAGAATTCAACCAGCTTCAGGAGCAGGGTATGCTCGGCGGAGGGTCCTCTTCTGATGAAGAGGATGATCCAACCAAGAAGACTGACAAGGAAAAGGCCGAAGATGATGGCAAGGCTAAGGAGGCCGACGAACACCAGGCGAAGAAGGCTCGCAGACGTGGCTATCCGATTTTGGCTTGTGATCACTCCGCCATCACGGGCGAGTCACTAGCCGTGGATCGTTATATGGGAGATATGATCTTCTATACAACTGGCTGCAAGCGTGGCAAGGCCTATGCAGTCGTTCAGACGGGTGCAAGCACCTCCTTCGTTGGCCGCACCGCGAGTATGGTGCAATCAGCTAAAGGCGCTGGTCACTTCGAAATTGTCATGGATAACATTGGAACATCTCTCCTGATCCTTGTTATGGCCTGGATCCTCGCTGCGTGGATTGGTGGATTCTTCCGCCATATTCCTATTGCTTCGCCCCCTCAACAGACTCTGCTTCACTACACTCTGTCTTTGTTGATCATTGGTGTACCTGTTGGTCTGCCCGTTGTTACCACTACCACCATGGCTGTTGGTGCTGCCTATCTGGCGAAAAAGAAAGCCATTGTGCAAAAGCTGACCGCAATTGAATCTCTGGCCGTAAGTCTGCATTAACATGGACTTTTACTGTCAAACACTAACAGCAAAATAGGGTGTGGATATTCTCTGCTCCGATAAGACCGGCACCCTGACGGCAAACAAACTGAGTATTCGTGATCCATATGTATCCGAAGGCGTCGATGTTGACTGGATGTTCGCCGTCGCTGCTCTTGCATCCTCACACAATATTGAATCTCTCGATCCGATTGATAAAGTCACAATCTTAACGCTTAGGCAGTACCCAAGAGCACGAGAGATCTTGCGACGGGGTTGGATAACAGAGAAGTTCACGCCGTTTGACCCGGTTTCAAAACGCATTGTCACTGTTGCAACATGTGATGGCATTCGATATACCTGCACCAAAGGTGCTCCGAAAGCGGTGCTTCAATTGGCAAGCTGTTCTAAGGAGACTGCGGACTTATATAAGGCCAAAGCACAAGAATTTGCGCATCGAGGCTTCCGCTCTCTTGGTGTTGCTGTTCAAAAGGAAGGCGAAGATTGGGCTTTGCTTGGAATGCTGCCTATGTTTGATCCGCCCCGAGATGACACCGCTCAAACTATTAGCGAGGCGCAGAATCTGGGTATTAGCGTTAAGATGCTCACTGGCGATGCTATTGCTATTGCGAAAGAAACCTGCAAGATGTTGGCTTTGGGCACTAAAGTGTATAACTCAGACAAGCTAATTCATGGCGGTTTGAGTGGCGCTATGGCTAGTGATCTTGTTGAAAAAGCGGACGGCTTTGCCGAAGTGTTCCCAGAACATAAATACCAAGTCGTACAAATGCTGCAAGAACGAGGCCATTTGACCGCTATGACTGGTGATGGTGTAAATGACGCACCCTCGCTGAAAAAAGCAGATTGTGGAATTGCCGTCGAAGGCGCCTCGGAAGCCGCTCAGTCTGCATCAGATATCGTTTTCCTCGAGCCCGGACTTTCAACCATCATTGACTCAATTAAGGTCGCACGTCAAATCTTCCATCGTATGAAGTCATATATCCAATACCGCATTGCCCTGTGTTTGCATCTTGAGATCTACCTAGTGACTTCTATGATTATCCTCAATGAAAGCATTCGTGTCGAGCTTATTGTCTTTCTGGCATTGTTTGCCGACCTTGCGACCGTTGCTGTGGCATATGACAACGCATCGTTCGAGTTGCGACCTGTTGAATGGCAACTCCCCAAGATCTGGTTCATTTCCTGTCTTCTTGGAGTGCTACTGGCCTTGGGTACGTGGGTTATTCGAGGTAGCATGTTCCTGAAATCGGGAGGAATTATTCAAAACTGGGGATCTATTCAGGAGGTACTCTTTTTGGAAGTTGCGCTCACCGAGAATTGGCTCATTTTTGTCACTCGCGGTATCGACACATGGCCATCTATCCACCTAGTGACCGCAATCCTCGGGGTTGATATTTTGGCTACTATCTTCTGTCTGTTTGGTTGGTTTACAAACCAAAACATGAAGACAAAGCCTGCAGATCATTTTGTCGAGACCCACAATGGTTGGACTGATATCGTCACTGTTGTGCGAATCTGGGGTTATTCGCTTGGCGTGTCAATCGTGATCGCTTTGGTATACTTTATTTTGAACAAGATCGAGTGGCTTGATAATCTGGGTCGTGTCCAGCGTGACAAGGGGCAGATCAAAATTGAGAATGTGCTTGCTCACTTGTCTCGTCTTACAGTTGAGTACGAGGAAGCGGGCAAGCAGAAGGGCAAGTTCTGCTTGACTACAAGCAAGGAGGAGGAGGAAGCCGAGTGAATTGGACGGTGTGATGTCTCAAGTTAACTATGATTGGACATCGAAAGTTGTTTTTTTGTTCTGTTCCTGACCTGATTGACTATTGTCGATGGTGATGAACGTTATTATTATGGCGTGTTCTCGCGGGACAACGTACAAGAGCACGAGGTTGTCTATGTTAATCTCTAATGTGTTGAATCTGCTTGCAAGTATCCTAATAGCGCTCAAATACCTCTAGTTTACGTCTTTTGAATTCAATACTTTATTATCGATGGAAGCCGTGTGATACCACATCAGCTTTTAACGCTCAACGCAGTATGCTCTCTGGCATACGGGTCGATTCAGCAGTCGTAATCCAGCTTCATACCTTGCACAGCCTACAAAGCAAACCGGGAAAGCCAACCAGGAAGTCAATCAAGAGAGGTGTAGCAGTGTGTATTCTCAAGCTGTGACTCTATTACATACCAGTTCTTTATTGAAAAGAGTGTATTTTGCTCAGAATTCTAAGTATAGAGAGGGAAGGGGAAAGAGAAGAAGGAATCGTAGAGGACCTTTAGCAAACAAACACTGCAAACACTGCAAACTTTCCCTTCGCTTAGTCACCAGACTCAAGGTGATGGATATATAGGTATCCATGGATAGATAGAAGAAAGTATTCGGCCAAAATGTTCCCTGCAAGTCTAGATCGTCGCAATTATTAATATACTATACCCCCGCTGAGATCCCAAGCTGGAGTAGCTAGGTAACCTTAGCTCTCTGACAGTATACAGAAGTATATTTATCGAAGTATATCTGCAAATCAACTTTTATTCCAGCGCCTAGAAATTTGTGAGGCTTCTTCGAAGAAGTCTTAAGACAACAAATCGGCTGTTAATACTCCTATAAATTGCAAGTCAATTCTCAATACAGGCACTTTAGTATTGCTGCCGGCTGGAGCTAACAGATTGATACGGAAGAGGCAGGAATCCGAACACAAGAAGCTGTTGAGACTACATCGATTCCTTAGAGCTAGGAATACGGTCTACTCGATAATACTCGGATACTGGTGCTGTAACTGTAGCATTGTTGGTTTGTATTATGTGTGTACCTCTAACAGCATTTCTGGGTATAGATAAAGTTGCCAAACGGTCAAATCGACGATGTGGTAGATATATGTTTTATACCAGGCCAGGGCTGCTGGATGCGACAAGGTTCAAGTTTCAAGTGAGACCGGCCATACCAAACATGTAGGTGATGTGAAGTATTATAACATCTATACCAGTGAGCTGTGACTAAGTCTGAGTGAACAATCAAGATGGGTCCGGTAGAGTATAGGACATCGTCACTTTACTTCTTCTCACAAGTGAAGAACAAGCTTCTCTTTCCAAGTCTATATCAAGTGCTTCGGCTCGCTGATCCATCGTTCGTGAGTTTATTTTATCTGGCAAGTGAAGAACAAGTATCTCTCAGCCCTACAGACCTATTCATCTTCATCCTGCTGGCTTTCAGCCGCGATATTTTTGAAAAAGCCACCGATATACTAGGTATATTGCCCTAAGCCACAGACAGAGAACAAGAGGCTAGTGAATCAAGACTATAGACTAACAAGTCCTAGATATAGCGATTCCAATTGAACCACCGCTCAAAGCTAGTGGCGACCATTCAGTCAGAAATGATTCAAATAGTGAAGCACTCGGCCATTTGAAAGCCCCAATCAGTGGTGATCATTCAGTCAGAGATGATTCAGATGATGAAGCACTCGGCCATTTGAAAGCCCCAATCCTTGGTGGAGATCCGAACCAGAAGCCCGGATACTGGGCTCGGTGAGTCCTTCAGCGCTCCTAGGCAAGGGCCATCCGATATTATACTAAGCAAGTGGAGCTTCTGCATTTCCTGAAATCTCAATCCCCAGTTCGAGAGCCTGTGATTCGACAGACCAAGTCTTGGGATAGGCCAAGGCTAGACGAGATAATCTGTGGGAAGAAAGTCAACATCGAAGCTATTTATACCTAAGTGGTCGGTAGGGATATACCGGGAGATATAAGCTGCAGCTATTGCGCTAGGGGGTATGGTCCTTTCCTAGCCTGCGTCCAGATCCCGAGTGAGTCTGGGGAGGCTACTGAATGCGCTAGCTGCCACTTCGGCGGTATAGTTACACGATGTAGCCTAAAACCAGAATCAGACTCTGCGACCAGCGTACAAATGTGCTACACTCCAAACCAACCTGTTCTAATGCTCAACCAGGAGGAAACCAATACGCCGGATGGCACACAATTATCCTCAACCACAGACTACAGTCTAGTGGAGCCCCTACCTCAAAATGTCAGGTCGGAGGCCATTGAAACCGGTTCGAATAGAATATAGCTAACTATATTTGGATAGGTGGACCTTTGGTTGAACGCGGGCCTTATCGACTTCAGCTTGACATCGGCAGCAAATGGGATCCCGCTCTGTGGAACCTGTCACACGCAATTTGATCGAGATCACGCCCCGGGTATCATATTTATACCGACCGACTTGCAGTACTTTATCGATTTTGAACTTGATGATAGAAAGCGGAGATCTACCACTAGCAGCGTTTAAAACTCGAAAGGGCATGATTAAATGATGGGTATCATATACAGAGGGTAAACAGGAAATTAAATAGGTTGAAAGAAATAGAATCAAGGGTATGAAAGTATGAGAGTAATAAGAGGGTCCAAAAGACAAAATGGAAGTACGCCAGATCAGAAACGAGGTCGAGTACATCGTAGGTATGCTTTATATGCGCTCAAATGTCCAATAATGTGCTTCGGTTGTAGACAAGGTTCCCAATTCGAAGGAGGCTTGTCCATCACGATGTTTGTTTTGGCGAAAAACTTCAAATTCTCAGATACTGTTGCGGTGAGCATGTCGGAGATTGTTGACTATGGCACGAGTCGCGCCGCGAGCAATCTGGTTCGCCTTACGGATGCCATCGAGCAAACTAAGAAGGTCGTTGCCGAGGATGGAGGTAAGATGATTGGTGCCTGATTGATCAGTTGACTCATTGTGATTGCTCTGCAAGTCGTGCTCATTCTGCGGGCTAGCAGTTGATGTGGGAACCACAGTCGTAGGTTTGGAGGCCTGGGGCCGTGTAGTTGTCTCTGCAGCAACAGTCGACTTTGCATCGTTACTTTCAGGCTTTGGTTCTGCGGTTGTAGCGGCGACAGTAGGCGGATGGGGTTTCGTAACGGAAGCGACGGGCGTTTTCTCACTGTCGGCAACGGTGACGGTAATGGTGGTGGTCATAGTAACCGTAACGACTGGCTTGTGTTCCTTGATAGTGATTTCTTCATCCGCCTTGTGCGAAGCAGACACAGATGAGGAGGAGGAAGACGAGTGTGAGGAGTCGGGTACATTGGAAGATGGCGACTTCGTGGTTGTTTTCGTGGTTGGCTTCGTTGAGTCAGTGGACGTAGAATCAGATGCCGAGCTTGACACCGGATCGGACGGCGACGAACCGGAATCATTCGCAGGGCCCAGGCTTTTGCGCACGTCCTTAATAAATCCTTCATTGGCGTAGGCCTGTGTGGCATCCCACATCATAACACCGCCAAAATTCTCAAACTTCTTCGTATATTCGATTACCTTCGCCAACTCGGATGACGGGATATATCCCGTGCTAGCAGCAGTAGTGAATGCTGGCACGCCGACGATAACCTTTACATCTTTGTTCTTTGACACCGTCTTCGCCCAATTATCCCATTCTTCGAAGTTGTACTTGCTGCTTGAGCTGTCGGTGTTGAAGTTGTTGACGCCACAATAATTGTTGTAGAACTGTACCCAGATGGCGTCAATGTAAACAGGGCCGTTGAGGATATCTTTGTCTGCCTGGTCAGGGTAAGGACATTGAGGTGCTGCTGTCAAAAAAAACTTCTGCTCGGTCTTATCTGCCTCCATCAGTGAGCGCAGCTCGTTGGCGAAATCGGCCATATGTTCCACATTGGCCTCAAAGTCAAAGTCGAACCCATCCAGGGCGACATCACCGAAGGGACGAAGCGCGTCGGAACCCTCTTGTTTGGGCCCAAAGGTCTCCCACATCAGTCTCGCACCATCCTTGGCATCTTGTTCTGACTTGAAGCCCCCCTCGCTGTAGGTGGCTCCACCGATTGAAAGAAGAATAGTCTTGTCCTTCTCTTGGCACGTCTTGATGTCCTTGCTAGATATTGTTAGCGCTGGCTAATTGCCAGCACATGGGATTTAAAAATGCTTACGCAATTGAAGGACAATTTTTCAATGAGGTGCCTTCGAACACATCGCAGTCCTTGCTGGTAACAGAGAAATCAATCTCTGGAGCGCCTCCTGGGCCATTGACCATCATATTGAACGCCATTGGGATCACCTATTATACCATTGATTAGCCAAGAATTTTGAAATATTTCCTGATGATCCGGTTCATACATCAATGTCATCATCTGGGGTATCTTGTTAGCTCTAACAACCATATTGAAAATGTATGGTTTACTCACTATCACAATAGTGTGCCAGGGGTTGCTGTGCCTGGTCCCCCTTTCCATTAAACGAATTTTGGCCTTCAGAATATATTATGTAAGTATTGATTAGTCCAAACAATGAACTACCACACACCCCAGTAAACAACGATGTTGCTGGCCGAGTTCAAGTCTAGCTTGGCCTCTGCTCCTCCAAGTGAAGCCAACAAAATAGACCAAGGAAGGAGGCTCCGATAGCGACGCATGGTTGGAAGCACAATCTAGTATGTGCTCGAGCTGTATAATTAGGTATTAAGGGATAAACTAATATATGGGATTAGGGGAGGGATAGGGATAGAAACAACAAGGACGAGCCAAAAACATCGAGCCTCATCCGGCAGAGCATAGCACATCATTAAATAGTATACAATGGACTTTTGCCCTTGTTATTTTGTATCAACAATGGCTGCGTTCCCCATTCAAGTGCCTGACCCAGCGCCCCCGGCGCATGGTATGATCCACATGTTCACACCAGCGATCTCAAGAGAGTTAGTTTCTTTAGTCATCCCTTGGTCCCAAATAGATATAATGCGTATATAACATTTCTAGATGATAATTCCGATTGGATTGTGAAGTTATTTCCGCGTCCTAGTCTGCATTCTCGTGTTGTTGTCAGGGGGCTGTTGTCAGGGGACTGAGGGCAGGCGCAAGAATGTACCGAGGGATGAGCATTTGTTGGTTGGACTATCAGTTTTTGAGAAATAACATTTAGGTAGCCTGTTGTAGAGACTACCTTATCCTATGGCCAGCTGTCAAAATCAGGAGCCATGTCCTTTGTCATCTGGGTGGTGATCGCACACCATTCGGTTGGTCGGAGTATATTCTACTGGCCCATAAAAGACGAACTGTTCACAATTTGGGCATTAATTCTTCAGCGTGCTATTTCTGTAGGACAACGAAGTCATTTTAAAATTCCAAGAACCATAAAAAAGCATTTGAACTAATTTCGAATGTTGAGTGACATTATATAGAAGACAAAAATGGCTGATGCTCCTAAATATATATCAGCAAACCAAATGGCATTACCTCCCTATTATTGATCAGTACATAAATACTCAGTATTCGCCCTATCCAATATTATTTAACCTATATATCACAAATCAGACTCTATTTCCCCTTATGCAGAATGTAGTTCCCTCTGGTATCACATATAGACCTTTAAGTGCGGTTGCACGGGGTTTACCCAATTGGGTTAGCGTCGATGAAGACATTCCCAACATTTATTTCGATCGCCAAACACTTACTGCAAAAATGACGAGGATAATATAAACATCTAGGTAATTCCAAAGAGAAAATATTAACACAAATTCTTTCCAGGAATGCATCGGATAATTCTTACCGAAAATATATTTGGCCATTCGTGCAGATTGGAACGTTGAAGTGGCAGCGAAGAGTTGAGATTGATGTTCCGACATAAAGATGGCAACATATAGATGGAGGGATATTCATTCGGGATCTGAAGTCAGAATTAATGGTTTAAATGCACCCCTTTTGCTCGTTTCTACAAGAGAGAAGACGTTTGTCCGCAAACACATTCACGCTCAATGGGGAAAAGAATACAAGTCATCTACCAAAGGGCCGTACGAAAATATGGTAGGGAATCATTTAATGTCACGATCTGACATGTGAAAACCACTGTTCTACAACCATGTGATGGAATATATGTTGTAGCATCGCTTTCCTGCTCACTCTGCTGTTTTTCTTTCCATCATGTTGAATAACTTTGAGATATCATGCTTCTCGGAGTCTCCGGGATGGCCGGATAAGACCCCAACTTAGCCAGTGGATTGCCGTGGACCATCTGACTAGATGCTTAGTATATACTGCTGGAATAAATCATCTGACCACTTACCACCTGTAACGGAAATGTTGAATAGCGCCTTGAATAGCAGTATTTCATAGTCATTGATGTTCCATGGCAATTGCGTGCCTTTATCTGCCGTCCTTCTCGGTGTAGTGGTACTGGTATGTGGACGGGTTGCAATTGTGGAAGAACCCGCGGATCGCTCAGGAGCAAGGATGGGGTCCTGATGGTTGATTCCACTCTGGGCAAGGAGCGATGTGAGGAATTCTCGTTCATTGCCGGTAATTGTTGTGGTATCGAGTAAGTTAGCGTAAGTTGCCATCTTAGCATTCAGCTGAAATAAAACATAACAGAAGGAAGCTTGATGGAAGATTTATAGGTGAGCCAAAATTATATTTCGTATTCTTAACAGAAGGATTGATAGCACAATTCCTGTTGATTCGTCGTCTTCTTTGTGGAATGGATAGAATTTAGCTCTGACCAATATATCTTCATAAATACTTCTGCCATCGGCCGAGGACCCGAGGAGTATCGCGCTTGCCATTTCTCATTAAAGTTTTATCACAATGGTTATATATTTATTCTCATGATAAAAAAAGTAATGAGGGCACAGAAATCTTTCTAATAGTAGATAAGAAACGGGTTACTTGCTTTCGTCAGAAAATTCTCTATGCAGCCGGCCCATCGGCGGGTGGGAAAGAGGGTTGCGATTCATCATTTGGAGGACGAGATGAAGCTGAGTGAAGAACTACATATATATCTCCCAACATGCTGCAGTATCGACTCCTTTGAATTTTACCGGATAGGACAGTATACTCCGGAGTAGTAGGGGTACCTCCTGGCTTAGATCTGGGCGATTCCAAGGTAAATAAAGACGGACCCTAATCTTTCGGTAGCAAAAGTCCCGAAAAACCCCCCTAAGACTCGAAATCCAGATGGACCAACGGGGTTTGTTCCCGAATAATCGATTTGTACTTATATACATTGGTACCCGGAGGATCCACAAGCGGGATGGCCCGAAAATGTGGTTTTGCGGGGTAAAAGTACCGAGAAATGCTCCAGTTAGTATAGATCAGTTAGAGTCTTCATTCGGTATGTGATGGTAATGGTTATCCTCACTTTATACCGAGTCTTGTCGACATTTTGTATCCGTGATTTCCGATAGACCCCTTTGCAACAAAATATAAATGGGCAGTGCATGTGGTCTTTGGAGCGAAAGAAATATTTCTTCTATTGATCTAACTGAACATTTCCAAAAGAAAACAAACAATTTTCACTCCAACGCCATGGCAATTGCACCAGACGTGGTTTCTCATGAGCAGTCCTATGCGCGAGAAGAAAAGCTCAACGAAGCGACATCTCAATACGGCATGACTATCGACTTCGATCCAGAAGAGATACGAAAGAAATACGAGGCTGAAAAAGCTAAGCGTGACAACAATGGCGGTTTAGGTCAATACATTCGGTCAAAAGACGTCAACATCGTTCACTACGACGAAGACCCGTATGCAAAATTCCCTGTTGAACGACTACCTGTCGACGCAATTTTTGACGTAGTCATCGTCGGTGCAGGATATACTGGCCTTCAGGTTGCTGCTCGTCTGATTGAGAATGGCCTCACTAGCATCTGCATCATCGAGAAAGGAAGCGGGGTTGGAGGGACATGGTAAACAATCTCTCCACCTTATCATGCGTGAAAGAAATTAACCATGGAGATACAGGTACTGGAACCGTTACCCCGGACTCCAATGCGACATTGAATCCTACATATACATGCCTCTGTTGGAGGACGTCGGCTCGAAGCCCAGTCGAAAGTACGCTTCGGGATTCGAGCTGTGGCAGCATGCAGACAGAATCGCCGAGAAATTTGGTCTGAAGGACCGCATCCTTTTCCAGACGATAGTGTCTAAGATGTCTTGGGTCGAGGAAGACGCCCACTGGAAGATCGACACAAACCGTGGTGATAATATTAGAGCCCGGTGGACCATTTCGGCCTCGGGTCCTTTTCATGCACCCAAATTCCCAGGAGTGCCAGGGATTGAGAAATTCCAGGGAAAGAGCTTTCATTCTTGCCGGTGGGATTACGACTACACTGGCGGAAGTTTTGAAAACCCGACACTGGACAAGCTTGCTGACAAGACTGTTGTTATTATTGGCACAGGAGCAACGGCCATTTAGCTCGTTCCACAAGTAGCCAATTGGGCACAGAAAATGTATGTGGCTCAGAGGACTCCGTCGACCGTAGATTTCAGGGGAAACGGACCTACGGACATGGATTGGTTCGAACAGCTACCGAAGGGATGGCAACGGGAGCGCCAAGAAAATTTCAATAAGATCACAACCGGTAGTCCCACTTCGGTTGATATGGTCTCTGATAGTTGGACATCGACCCTGCGAGAAATGCCCGAGCTTTTCGGCGGTGCGACAGGGGACGAGTCATCTGAAGATCATGCCCTAAAAATTCAACTTCAAGATATGAAGAAGATGGAATCTCTGCGCCTACGGATTGAGAACGTTGTCAAAGACAAAAAGACAGCTGAAGCATTGAAGCCGTGGTATAACCTTTACTGTAAACGGCCTTGTTTCCATGACGAGTACTTGGAGGCTTTCAACAAACCCAATGTCGAGCTCATTGACTCTGCGGGAGCAGGTGTCGAAGCAGTCACAGAACGTGGCATCATTGTTCAAGGAAAGGAATATCCTGTCGACTGTATCATCTATGCAACAGGTTACGAATGGGGTGGAAACTACGATGCGGGTAACTCCAAGATTAACATTGAGGGCCGTAATGGACAGACTCTTGTCGAAAAGTTCAAGGACGGTCCACTCCTTGTCCATGGTTGTTGGATTCGCGGATTTCCCAATCTGTCGCTTCTCAGTTGGACTCAAGCAGGGACTACAGCAAATGGGACAACTACGATGATCAAGATGACCGAGCACATGATCTATCTACAAAAGGAGTTCAGAAAGCGACAAATCCGTTCCATCGAGCCTGGTCAGAATATGGAAGACATTTGGGACAAACAGATCACCAAAGTGGGAGCATCTAGGAATGAATATTTGAAAAACTGTGTCTCGGGGTATCTCAACAACGAGGGTGACACATCTGACAAGGCTAGTCTCTCACACCGGAGTCTGCCGATGGGATCGACAGTCTCACAGATGATGATGCCAATGTGTCACTTGAGACAGATTCCCTTCACGTGAGGAGAGCTATTTTGGATATATTCTGGACGTCAAACGAACTTTGGAGCAATATAGTCGACAAAGAACAGTTCCTGGCTTCGAAGGTAGGCGGACAAGCCTCGGAGTACTATTCTCCGTCGCTTGAGGACGCTATGCTCGCATGTGGCTCGCGGAACAGTACCTCAAGTGTTATCCGTAAAGCTGGGAGAATATATGTGAATCGCGCCAAAGAAGGTCTCCTGACCCAAGTGGAAACACTCAGCATTGCCGCCATCCAAAAACTTCTCCTGGTGAGCAACTTCGAGGCTGGAGATGGCTATCATCGGATAGGATGGACCTATTGCGGTACGAACCCCTTTTGAACCCAGAGCATTCACGAGTCTCGACGCTGATGTATGCCAGGAATTGCGCTGCAGATGCTTTTTGACCTTGGTATCCACGAAGATTGTTCAGTCCTGGTAGCGCAGGGGCACCTGACCATCAGGGAGGCAGCCTGTAGGCGGAGGTTATTACTCTCAGCATTTCTTTATGATACGATCTGGGCATGGTTTATGGGCCGTCCACGAAGCGTTCCGGTATCGTCGGTCATATTGGCTCATTCCAACCACAGTGAAGACCTGCAATGCGACACATCGGCACTAATACTGGATGCATGGGTTGACCTATGCATCTTGATGGCTGAAGCTGGGGATATCCTCAACTTGTCAGTGTCCCTTGATGACCCTGTGGTCGAACGACTGTCACAGATCTACACTAGTGTTGATAGGCTCTTGGATACCTTACCGGATGATCTGGCCTGGCACAGCTCGGAAATGTCTCCGCTCCACCCCTCAGCTTATGGCCTTCATACCCAGATATCTGCCTTCAAGATGCTGCTCCTTCGCCTTCCAACACGGAGCCGTCACCCAATGAACTCTTTTGATATTATCGAAAAGAACAGGGTGACATTAAAGGGCTTCACGTCCGAAACTTCTGATGCTGCGATCTATGAGAACGCTGTTCGCATTGTGCGCCTGGTGCACCTCCTGATTCAAGTTCACGGCATCGAGCAGATCGTTCCTACGATATTGGATAATATCTATATTGCTGCCATTATTCTCATTCAGCACATCTCCAACGCTCAGCAGCTACGGACTCAGGAGTCTTTGAGCGCAATTGAAAATGACAAGAATTTGCTTGATATTCTGTCGAAGACATTAGCAGGAGCAGAGAAGCACTACCGAATGACAGCTGTCCTCGGGAAGAATCTGTGTTCAATCGTACGGGGAATGAATCTAGCTGGTCTATTCAGATCGGACAATGGCGACGAAGAAAATGTTACCGACCAGTCAGCTAGTGCTGGTTCGGAGCTTGCTCCCGATCAAACTCAGCATCCTTCCGATGTCGAAAATCCTATCCTTGCATCCGATGATCATTTTATGAACTCTTCTGCGTTTGAATTCACTCCGAATTTGATGACTGGCATCGAACAATACCAAGGTGCAACCACGGACGCGTTCCCGTGGCCCTTGAGTCCTGTGGTTTGACTTTGATAACTATCTAGATTTCCTTGTCTGGGACTAACTCTCAGGTTATGCGGCCCACTTTTGCAATCTGTTGCTTTTCAATTCTGGAAGAATGACGGGTTGAAGGAATGTAACATTGACGGGATCGATCGTCTGCCTCATACTGCGCAAGATTTTAGCTAGATCTAACATGACAGATGCAGATAGAGCATGTAATCAAGCCTACCATCTATACAGACCTCAAATCCATGACTTCATTGTTGATCAAAATTGCCCAGAAACCCTTTTTTTTTGGTCATCGTCGTGTTCAAATTGAAATTCTATTGTCGGTACAGCAATTTAAAGGTTATCATCTCAATAATATTCATCAGTACTATAGATCTCTTACAATTTCCCAACTTGCACGACCGGACTTGCTAGACAAAAGGTCTAGTGAAATCGATGCTCCATGTCAATCCAGTTCCCTGTTTTGAAGAAGGAAACCCGACGATGATCACGCGGGTCGAGTTTAGCTAAGCCCCTCTAGCCACTTCCATGTAGTGATTCCCATAATTCCCGGCTGCATCCCAGTTTGGGCATCAAGAATGCAATCTATGTGCACATGTAGGGGACATGCCACATTTTCGACCCTTAGTTCTGCCTCTTCGAGAGTCCGGCCAAATGTGGCTATGTGATCTCGAAAGAGCTCGTAGGCGCCGAATACATTCAAGATCGACTCGACGGGCATCCCACGCCACCATGAAGAGCTAGCTATAATGGGCTCAGAGTATTCTGTCTTCTGCGCCGGATCGACAAAGTCATCCGCCATTGACTTCATGACTGTCGGGTTAACAATGTCCCGATCTTTGTTTTCCTCATATGAAGCATTATCTCCGTTAAAGCAGACCCAAGGTGAGATAAGGAGTAGGCCCTTAAGGGCTCCTTCGAATTTTACAACCGGTATTCCATCGAGGGGGTGCAGGATATGAGACATGAGGCTGAGAGCAAGATTTGCTCCTGCTGAGTCTCCGGCGACGACAATCTGCACGGTACAAGAGTTAGTGGGCTCAACTAGTGGATGAGGAACTGGGTGCATACACGACTCGGTAAGAAGCCTTTGTTCAACACTAGCTGCAAAGCCTTGGTGGCTTGCAATAGCTGAACAGGGAATCGGCTTCCTTTGGTTAAAGCTAGAGCCGGGCATCAGTCCAGCCCGTGGAAATAGTGGTATATTACTCACTATATTCTAGAAATCCCACAACGGTCTCTTGTTCGGTGGACGAAAGGTGTTTGACACATTGGTCCATAAATTTCACGTGGCTTTCGAGCGCGGGCAAACCATAGCCACCACCTGAACAGAGTAAGATTAGATCGACTCATCGACATTCCTCATTTGAGATACCATGAAAGTAGAGAATAATATTTGCGGCAGAGCGGTCACCAAGCCAATGAAGCTTGGCCCCATCAGATTCAGGAATATCCTCAATCTGGTGTTGGATCTTGAGAGCTGTGCAGCAATCATCAAGCACTTTGGCAGTCGGTGGTGCTACTGCCCGAGCTTCATCTCCATCACCGAACACATTCCGGTAGAAGTCGTTACGGCGTTCATGTTCCACTGAGCGTGACATTGTTCGTCCTATTTTCTTGGCGTTTATAGCTCTTGGGGTAGTGGCGTCCCATCTTCTCCCTATATACCTTTGTAGAAATCTCGGCTGCTGTAATTCCGAGAAATGAAGTTAGCAGTATGCCCTCATATCACACTGGGCGCTTTGTGCCGAAAATTCCTCATTGGCTGCTTCGGAACAAGAGTGACCGAAAATGCAGCCCCGGTGACCATGCTCCAATCAAGCGCGGATGCATGAGTGCATTGGTCCTGTACTGCGGGGGAGAATTGTCCAATTCGAATATTCTTCGGATGCCTCTAGCGACACTCTCGGTATTGATCAGCAGCGACGCGAAAGATCTGGGCGCTGTTTCCGCCACGATCCTACCTATGTATTATGTTCTTTATGTTCTTTATGATATTTGTGTTGACAAGGCTCTGAGAGATTATCTCATTTCAACATCAATCCATGACATTATTCCCACGCCTTAGACAATAAATAGAAGTGCACAAACTATATGCAATAACAATTGGAAAGGGAACGATAATGATAATGGTTGGGTCCACGTATGTTGACTTACCCCCAAGGTGGAAAATAGAGCCGAGTGGGTTCTATCAGATACCTACATCCTGTGTCAACAAGGGTCGGGGGTTGGCCTCCATTGTATGTCAGTAGCGGCTAGAAATGCTCATCACAATCGCGAAGACAGATATTTGAAGAGACCTATATGCGAGAATTGAATGATACAAGTGCCAAAGCTGAACGAGCGATTGCTACAACAGTCGCCCAAGGTCTTCAGTCCGCGCCCGTGATTCTCTTGCGGGGAAGATTCGGGAGTTGTCTCCTCTTGTGCAGAAAAGGTAGATGGAGGATGGCTTCCATACTCAGTGCCTGATAGGTCCCTAAACATCTAAGGTATAACATTGCGAATTTTAATGCAATATTTTCGGAATCTAGGGTTTTGCCAGTATAAATATTGTTGAAATGGTGTCTCCTTCTCCATTTTGAAGCTGTAAGATACTTGCCTGTTCATCCCAATAACGCGCTGGCGAGCGCCAGTATTGGCCATAAATGCACCTGTCAGTACCTGCCCTATGTAGACCTGACTGACAGTCTCATACTTTTCAAAGGGTCCAATATTATTTTCCCACTTCCAACAACCATCTTCCTGTTCAACATGGGCCTCACAGAACTTTCTCTACATCTCCTGTCTCTTTGACTTCCTTCTATTAATCGTCCATTTATTTCCTGCCCTTCATGATCTGCCTTTTGATGTCCGTCTAGGCGACCAAGCTTATGTGGGAAGCTAGGTGACAGATATTCAGGATACTCTTGGTGTGACAATCCAACTCATGGTGCCGATGATTGGCATATTCGTGCTAGCAATGGTTTGAATTGGATAAAGGAATGGGAAGATGTTTTGGTTGGCGTGTCAAAAGAGGTAAGATTCCCTTGCTTCGTTCTCATTTCTGAAAATCTTGAAAACAAAAGCTGACCCATTACTATAGCCTGCCAAACGTCCGGAATGCGACCACTCAATTCTCTACTTTTCCATCGGTACCTTCTGGGATCTTGGGATTTTCTTCTGCCTTTTTAGTTCCACAGTTCAGTTGGGTTAACTAGCCACGAGCCGGATTATACTGTCTATGGCGTAACAGCCGATGACGAGGTCTTTCGCTTCCTGGAGATCGATACCTGCCCCGATGTCGGTTTTCTCAAAGGTGTCGAGCCAATGCATGGCATTGAAAACACCTGGTCTACGATCATACTCTGCCGTTATACATGCAAGCCCCAAAAGAGGAGGGGCAAAGCGAATTATCGCATACAAAAATCGATCGCAAGTGCCATTTAAAACAATTTAACTGCTATCTGGCTTCGAAACAAGAAATTCCACGCAAAGAATGATATGGATGCTTCACTGGAGGCAGTCGAGGAACAGGGGCTGAAAATTCCCGAGTCAAAGGGCAAAATGTCCCAAGAATCTCATACATTCACATCAATTGCCAAGATTTGAGATTACATTGATGTCATATTCAATTACTGAGAGCTCGGTCTGAATCTTCATACCTTAAACCTCCACCAACATAGCGGATCGATCGATGGGGATTTGTTCCATGTAGTCGGTCCACATTCAATTACGCGTCCCAACCCCTGAACGAGTTTCTGCAACCCACAACATCAAAATGATGCTGTGATTGCCCGTGGTATCGCCAAAGCTAGTCGTGGCGCCAGTTCGGATGGCTTTACACATGCACGCAGACTGCCTATACTACTAGATCATAGCTTTCAACAGTCAGTTAACACACTATGGCCGAACCACGATCTTCATTGGACTCCACAAACACCCGCAGAAAGATTTTTTTTCTCATGCGGCGTTTAACATCCAGCCCTCAGAGAGTCAGATCTGGTCGGACTCAACCTCCATGAAGCTTGCGGTTGTGTGATCCTTTCGGCGCCAGGGAACTCATTGGACCACGAGGCACGCACAGGCCGCGGGAAGGAAGGTATTTCACAGTCGTGCATAACTGACGTGTTTTGGCACATCTAACATCGTCTAGACCACAGGAGGGATGTCTGAGTACATGCCTGAAAATTATTGCAGAGTGAGCCTCATCAACTCCCTTTCTTAATTACAATTCTGCGACTTCTGTCGCATCCCCGAGCTCGCTTAGTCTGGCCGATAGCAGCACTTAATATCATGACATGCATGTCCTGTCCGGGGGAGGGGGAATCCTAGCAAGTCAAAACTGGGACTCAAATACTAGCTCAGAGTACATTGTCTCTCCTGAATTAAAGATCATATCGCAATGCCCTTATTTATGTTTATTTTTGCGCCCCCAATACTATATCTCGTACCAAAATTGAAGAATACCTGTAAGAGGCACAACTCCTACAAAACGAATTTTCCACATTTCATCAGTAATAGAGAGGGCTTAGCCGGGTGTATGTGTATCGCTCGAGGTCCAAATAAATATTCTAACACACCAACAGTTTTGACGATCTCTTAAGTTTGTAGAAGGAGGATTTTTGTTGCGTTTCCTTCCCCATATATAAAGCGCCGAGGTGATATATTGAACATCCTATCTAAGAGCATAACATTGTACTCATCAATATGGCATCTTCAGAATCCACTTCTGGAGGGTATTGCGAACATGGTTTATATGTGACTTCTCCATGTTCAAGTGGTAAGCTACCTCTTGATTCCGATGACTCGTTGGATAGCTTCGTCATTGCTCATAGCAGAGTCAATAACACCAGCCACCTTAAGCACATCGACAACACTCCCAATAATTTTATCATCAACGCCGCGGGTGGCATTGGTGAACTTGACATCCTTAAGCCACTCCGTTGCATCCTCCTCAATATAATTGCAACCGAGCTCACCAGTCCCCAAAAGTTTCACAACCTGCGTAGTATTAGCTTCGAAGTCCTTGATTCCCTGGTCAAAGGCCTGGAAAAGACTCTCCAATCGCTGGTCTTGCTCGGGGTTAGGGAACAGCGCCGTGGAAGCGACAATCATCCATGAAGGCCAGGGCGTGAAAATCTCGCCAATCTTCTTAAGCGGTGGGTTCGGCTTCTCGGATGTGGGATGGAAGTATGGCTTGGTGGTAAATTCCTCCCACATGAAGAACTCGGCGGATGGGTTAGCAGCCTGATCAGGCTTTGATTCGTCAAGACCGGAGACACCATCCCGCAAGGGTCCAAAGGGTCCCAGAGGGACAGTGGTCAAAGAGTCAGCTTTCCAGCCTTGCTGCTGGGCAAGGACGAAAGACATAATATGAGATCCGCTGGAGGCCGACGTGTTAGTTCTGAAGCTACTGTGCTCGCCATGATTCCATGTCAATAGCTTACCTTCCCAGCCGGCTGACTCCAACCCTCTTATCTTTCAAATCAGACACTCCGTTGATCTCGTGGCGATTGCGGCCTGTGACAATAGCCCAGCGCAGAGGGTTGTCCACCCAGTGGCCGACAACCTTGTATGCTCCATCTGCGGAGCTCTGGCTTGCTTGCTGCTTTCCGGCCAAGCCGGCAACCCACCCCTCGGTCAAACCGATGGCGAGATCGATTTCATTGCCGCGGAGGGATGTGATCATATGACCCGTTCCCGATGGGAAGGGAGTTAGGGCGAGTTTAAATGGGAGGGATGAAATAGCTGGGGAACGGAGGGCGAGATGAAGCGGGGTTAGGTAGTGCTCTAGAAGGCGGTAGAAGCTTATCGTTAGCTATATTTTATCTGATAGAAAGTAGGGATGATAAGCAGTCTTTGTTGCGGCAAAGCAAGTAGTTTGGGCATGACAGTATTGTCTTGCTGCTGGGGTCGAAGCTCTGGGAGGGGCAAGCCGACGTACCGGGCACGTAGCCAATGCGGATTGTGGGCAGGTCAGTCATTGTGAATGTCCCAGTTGTGTTATTGATGCGAAGAACAAACAGCGAAAGTCTGGGGTTCCGTGGGAAATATGCTGGCGCAGATGTCGAAGCATTCCAAGGCGGGGCAAGCCCCTCACCAACGCGCGCAATCGGAGAAGAACCGAAGAACTTTTTTTGATAAAACACCATAATATTGACATTATCTCATTCAACTTACAGATCTATAATGCTGTTCGCCAATGCTATTTATCTACAAAATAATCGAGTCTAGTCCCAGGTTTCATCAAGCCTAGGTTTTCAGTTCATGCGGATATCCTTCTCATGATGACCCCAACGGGCGTCTTGCTCCTTCAGCTCGCCTGCGGGCTGGGAGATGGAACGGGAATGAGGAGTGGAGAGAGGAGTAGGGAGAGGGTGGGAAAGTGAGTTGGAGTGTGTGTGTGAGTGAGAGTGTGGGTTGGAGAGCGCGGCGGAGACCGAGTTTGAGTGGGAGTGAGACGGAGTTTTAGAGAGGTTTCGAGTGAAGATATAGAACTGCAAGCCCAGGTAGCAGTCGCACACGCACTGGAAGATGCCACATAGCTTGAACGCCCATGGGATGGTCTCGGTGCTGTTGAAAAAGTAGCTCATCTTCATGGCATCACCAAGAATCCATGCCGCAACAACGGAGACTCGGAAGCCCTTGCACGATCCGGATCGGTGGTTGGCGACGATTTGAGGGAGAGGGAGGGTAGCTTCTGTGGCGAGTCCGATGTAGCCAAGGAGGCCGATATAGTATTCCGATTGAGCAATGGGGGTCAGGTGGATGACGGTCAACATTCCCACGAAGTAAGCTAAACACATCCAGTATCTTTGGGAAGCGGTAATTAGCTTTAATCGCTATAGGTGGAGGTGCCGGAACTTACGGCTTGGTAGTCTTCCATTGCCAAAACTCATAAGGTCTTGAGGATGAACCATCTGAGTTACCACCGCTGAAGGGTGTGTGCTCGATTCCATTTCTCCCACCGGTTGAGGGGCGATTATCGAGTGCAACCTTGAGCAGCGCGACCTGCACCACGATCATGACAATTGCTTGTGTCAATAAAGTGCCTGAGTAGTATTCGCCAAACCAATAGAAAACCCTAGTCATGTCAACATTGGACTGCGGGCTCAAAGTTCAACGCGCCGTTGAATGGGATCATACTTCAGGATCGATGAAACCAGCATAATCAAAGGGATGTCCAAGGAGAAGCCCGCGGAGCTTCTGGTGCGATGAATGCTGACGATCTGGTCGGCATAGGACGTGATAGGGGAGCTTATAAGGCTGTGTGCGAGCTTGGTTAGCACTGGAAACGTGCGGGTCGATTTAGGAGCTCGGTCGCGCCCACGTACAAGAAAGGTGCGGCATAGTCAAAGGCGATCTGGAAAAGAGACATGACGGTAATTGAGGGGTATATCCGCGGTCGCTATAATCGACACGATTGCGGGAGAATTCGCGTTCTGGTAAGTAGACCCAGGCAACAAAGGAAAAGCTGTGGACAATCAAGAATAGGTGTCTTTCAAACCAAAGAGAGTAAAAAGGTACACTTCCAACAGGACTGCGTTTTTTGCCGCGTTCGGGCCGGATGCCCTGAATTATGTCAGCATGTCAATCCCCACCTAAACCGGGCGGCTGATGGGGGCGACTTGGCGGAATTGGAGCCAATCAAAGTAGAGGGCTATTATTAAATGCACGAGGTAATTTGCCTATCTTGGACCCCTAAAGTAAATTGTATACAACATAGGTGGCTCATAATGAGATATGCTAAAAGGGATGACTATATGAAACTATGTAGATACCTAGACATATGTAGTTACCTGACTTCACGATGAATCGTCGACAACTTTCAAATAACATGATACCATGACATTCTCCTACCACTCTCCGAAACAATCCAAGTTCGTGCCCTTGCCATCTGATTTCCCCAAGTGTTAGTCTCTCAAATATCCAAAATGAGCAGCCTCAGCGACCAAGCTGCGAAGAAAATTGAGCTCAAAAATCGTGAACTTCAGCTTCAAAAGCGTAAATTGGAGCTTGACCTCGAAAAGCATCAGCTCCAAGTCGAGTGCGACAAAACCGAGCTTGAAAAGCAGAGGTTTAGAATTAAACAGGATGAATATAAACTTAAGGAAAGGATAGACAAGCTGGAAGAGATTGAAACCGAATTCGAGACCAATGGACCCGATATAATCAGGCTGACGATATCCAAGAAGGTCAGACGTGCTATGGCAGGCACAAAAGAGAGCCAACTTAAATGTGATGATGACATGAATGCCCTCCAGCGATTTCGATATGAACGGTACGTCTACGAACAGGACCTCAACGAGAAAGATGATCGCTTAGCCGATTTACTCGACACAGAGACCCGGTTGCGAGAGCTCGCTCAGCGGGAACAATGCCTGATGGAACAACTTGAGCAAGATCCAGCGAGATTCCAACAAGAGATCATTGACGGGCAGAAGGAATATATTCTAACTGAACGGGAGTGGTGGATTATCCGGAATTCCTTCTCTAATGGAGCTTTAGAGCGAGGTTTTGAGTACTGGCGCAGCCATCCTAGATGGTATTTGCATCGCGTTCTTCGGGAGGACTGTGCGGGGAGAGGAGGTTGCTGTGGCCGTGATTGTGGATGTTGCGTTGATCGCAAACTTGGCTCCCATCGTAAGCTCGCAGTTGGGCACTGCACTATTGAATGTGGTTGCTGTCAGAAGGCTCGGGGATTTGAGCTTTCTGAAGATGAAAAGAGATATCTCTCGATACGATACGCGGTCTCGCAGGATGGTACATCTAAGAAGAACTTCGAACTGAAGGATCTCCAACTGAAGAACCTCGAACTTCAACGAATCCATTCTCAAGAACTAATGAAGGACCGTACGATCCGATATGAGTTTCCTGAGGGCGGAGTTGTCGAATACGAACGCTACATAAACCAAGACGATGGTATCCCCGAGGATGAAGCCGAGTTCACTGACAATGAGTGCCCTGTGGAGGAGGATCCGTACTATCATCGGATCTGCCAAGCTTCGATCTGGGGATTGGTAGAAGGCAACTTCGATAAACCGTATGACCTGATCGACACCCATGACTTGATCGAAGAACCGAGATACAAACAAGCCTGTGAGTCAACATGGGGGCTTGGCGGTAGTAACAAAGAGTCATTCAGCCTGGTTAGTCACGAGGACAATAATTCAATGATGACAGAAACGGATTGGTAGTTATCAAACAGCAGCTCTAACTACATGGCTAGGTTCGTCTTTTGGGGGTATTGGTGAGGCTATTTGCTAACATGGCTGGGCATAATGTGGAGGTTACTTGCTAGTTAGTTTTGAAGAACCACTTTGCTCATAAATACCTTTTCACTGCCTTTAGTACAAGTATACTAGGTGATGTGGTATATAAAGTAGCTGTCTCCCTGTATAGAGGACTAAATAACGAGATATCCTTACTCCGTGCAAAGCTACTGGATATCATGGGGAGACGAGAATGAAAAATGTATATATATATATATATTTTTGGGCGCTATGTAATGACAGAAATTCGGGCAGTCAACTCTGCAAAGATACTTTCGAAATTGCGACACATGCCTGAGTATTGAAGTCCATTAGACTGGCTTCTCACCCAGAAGGGCAAAGCTCCCCTCTTTGTCAACCTTAGCGTAGCAATGACCATCGTGTCCAGCCTGTCTGCTAGTCTCAACAGCCTTTCTAGCACGAGGGCGCATCTGCTTCTCATAAGCCCTGACAGCATCACTGATAGACATGTGGCCATCAGCAGCCAACTTGATAGTATCCGCGAGCTGACAGGCGTCCACAATGGCATGATTGACTCCCTCGCCGCGATCTGCTCAAGTTAGTTCGATCCGTGTCCTCACAAACGAATAGACAATAAACTTACAGATCACCATACAATGGGCCGCATCACCGATCAAAGTACAGGTACCGTCCCAGTTGTCCCACTCAACGGAGGGCCAGTCAACCAAGTTGACCTTGGTAATGACGGTGTCCTCGGGCAGTGCCTCTACCATATCCCGCATACGAGGGAAGAATGGTCTGCCTTTCTGTTTGAACACATCAAGCAAGGGCTGCTTCAACAGCTCCTCATCCGCATCGGATGCAATCCATGAGACGTACACTTGGGCACGGTAGGGTTGTCCGGGGACTGTTGGAGTGTCCAACAAAGACCAGAAGACAAAAGTATTTGTTTCTGGGTGCGTACCCATGAAATAGAGTGGATCGACGTGGTCTTTGAAGTAGTTGACTTGTTCCTCACTCATAGCCAGGGCACAGCCAACAGCATTGATGGGAAGGCGATGTAGCTCGTGGGTTGTTGGCGCAAGGAACTTGCGAACAATCGAGGTGGGGCCATCTGCACCCACCAGGGCATCTCCTACAACATTCGAGCCGTCTGTAAACTCAGCTCGGACACCTCCGTCGACCTTCACAATGTTGACTAGACGTTTGCCCCACTATAGTGCAAGTTAGCTGTATGTAATAGTTGAAGATAAACACAACAAGAGGAAATATTGACCAACCTTGATATCCAGACCCTCCATAAGAGCCTTCCGGATTCCATCCCGTCTCAGCCTAAGTCTCTTGCTCTTGGGCACAGACTGCTCAACATTTCCGGTCGCACCGTTAATCCACGGAACACCGCGGACTTCATTACGACCGATAGCAGGATTTACCTGGGCCTCACAAACGCCATCATAGATCTCCGGCAGGATATGAGCTTCCCAGGTAGTCAGGGTTGAGTGAATAGAAACGCCCCATCCCTGGTTGCGCACTTCCGCGGACTCGTCGCGCTCAAAAACCGTACAAGGAACTCCGTGACGACGCAGGGCCTGGGCCAGCGTCAAACCAGCAATGCCTGCTCCGATATACACTTTGTCAGAACGCGATTCCAGTTGATCTTGTTTGATTGGTAGCATACGATGAGGATACCCCCGTTGGGTTCTTTTGTTGCAGTATTGAAAGCCATGGTGTCTCGGCAGCTATCTGAAGGATAGTGAATTGTAGGTTTTTGTCGGGTGCTGTGGTGGGCTTTATATGTGCTTTTCTTCAACTGTGCGCCATTTTTTGTCCTACTAAATAGAGACGCGGCATCATCGGACCACCTAGAATGAAAATATGAAACTGTTGAACAAGCTAGGCGATGTTTTAGCATATATACTGGCTGGTGGACCGACCCACCTCGAGCATAGATCTTCCTGCACGTTTTCCTAATTGGGATATTTGCAGACACTGGGCCCTGGCGTCATCAAATCTCTCGGAGGCCCGACTGGGTCTCAATGCCGCTTACCAAGCGACAACCCAAGTGCCCAAGTGGGAGGGTTGCGTCTATATACCCATTTTGTGCCTCCGAAACGGCTCTTCACTGCAACTAACGCACTAGCATGCCCAATAGCTTTAGACCACGTATCATCCTGCAACTCGAGGCCCTAATATCCCCTCACGTTTGGCAAATACAATACTCTTGGTGTAGCGTACTCAGTAGTGGGTTCGTGATATCATACAGTACATATTGCTATTTCAGATAGCCGTCTTACCTAGATAGTAAATATAATAAATTACAATTTGATATCGTGGCCTATTGGCTCACAATCAATAAAATAAAATCATGGTTATAAAGATATCAAGTTGTAATTTATTGTATTTACTATTATATATTCCGGACTACGTAGCTCGCCCGGGAATACGTTATAGTTAAGCCCAATACGGAGTACTTATTCTAAAATACACACTCGTTTAACCTATTGCTTTGTACCAGTAAGCGTTCGGTATTAGTTTAGCCCTCTATTATATATATAATTGAGTATTTTGATTTATATCAGTCTAAAATAAGACAGAATTCAGCCCTGGGGGTATTCGACTTTTGGGTGAACTAAAATACTGCCTGGCAATATTAACCAGTAATAATTAAGTCCCGGGTGGCATACTTAGTCGCCCGTAGTCTGACCAATCAATTGCTAGCGGTAGATTACCGTTTTAATGCTCCGGACAAAGATCAAAATCCAAAAATAATACCAAACTTTTTCCATGTAGCATCATTAGGGCGCCTAAGGAACTCATTCATTTTGCCCCGTTCCGCTTATATTGTCGCCTCGTCCTAGCGCACTATATCAAATGAAGGTGGCACATTATGGCGTTGGGATTGTCTGAACAACTCAAAGGCAAGTAAAACCATGTCCTTTTTGGCCAGAAGCATAGCGAAAGGACTCGGTGGAGTGCCTTTCACGTATAGAGCAGCGCTGCGAACTTCGTCCTCAGTGAACCAGCAATGCTCGAGATACTCATCACTGATTTCGACGGAGCTTTGGCCGACCGGCTGGTGTATCTCGCTGGACCAGACTCGTTGCGCCATTGTCTTTTCGTTGTCGATTATGATGAATCCGAGCGTGCGTATAAGGACTATATCGCCGGTTCTTCTATCTTCGTGATAGAAAGAACACGTGATAGCATCTTTAGCAAATCTTTCAGGTCAGATTTGCGTCTCCTCCCCGCTTTCTCGGGCCGCAGAATGGATGATAGCCAGGTCCTCTTTGTCTGGAGTTCCTCCTCCTGGCTCCTAGGTATTACTATATAAGCTATTTTTGCCGTTTTGCTCGATCAATAAAACTCTTGGCTCGGATAGGCTACCGGGGTGGTAGGAAAATTTGAGAGCTATAGCTGTGAAGCGTTGAATGCTGGGGTGAAGTTCTTTCAGACTGTCGAGAGGAATATTGACAGTGGCCCTATCGATCCGCTCAGGGATGGACTGGTAACCCAAAGGGGGACTAATGTTGCTTATTGCAGTCGATATAGCTGAGTATAGGGAAAAAAATATTTTAGAAATAGAAGGAGGTTATGCCACTTATATATTGCCACTTATGTCTCTTCTAACCCACAGTCTAATAGATATATGATATTAGGCACCATTAACCCTAAAACTTGACTGGTCCATCTCTCGTACAAAATCATCAGCTAGTTTTTCTAACAAAATTGGAATTCACTACTTCCTTTTTTCATGTAAAGCCGGAACTATCCCGCACATTCTAGTCTCCTATATACCCACTATTCACAGCGGACCACTTCACGATGTCCATCATGATATATCATCTAGAAGAGCATCCCTGAGTTATTAACATATTATAGTGGTATATTATGCTACAAAAGTGCCGGGGGAAATCGCCTTAGTCAATAGCTGATATCAGAGGCTTAGATATCAAGAAGCTATTCAAAATTAAAACGCCTAAGAATAAAGTGAAATCAGAAGATAATATACTAGAAGCTTAGTAAACTAACTAAGACTAAGCACCACGTTCAACGATGATCTTCTTCCTATTGTGTGATTGACTATTTAGAAATCGGTGTATCTCGCTCCCTATCAATAATCCTGCCGTTGACAAGTCGAACGTTTGGAGGCATATAAGGGAGTATAATGATATTGCTATCTGTGTTACCGTCTGATTGTATATAGTCCGTTTCAGATCTATTTTCTGAAAGGTTGCAGAGTGAGAAGGTATTATCAAAAGTTTCGCGTTATAGAGGAAAAACTCACTATAACAGTCTCTAATTAGACTAATTTGCGACGCTTCTCCCTTCTCTGTTTGCTTTGGATTGCAAACTGGTAGCGGCCTTTTAAGGCTAGATATAGATTTGGTATTTTCCGGCTTATATATCGCAGGTTCAGTCAATCTATAGAGGTTGGCAGTATTTGGGATCGTTTGCTTTAGGTCCTCGTCTATTTTCTTCTCGATTTTGGGTCCCCAAAATGCCTGCATACAGTTTGGTAGAAGCAATCGAAGCGAGATAGAAGACAAGCACTCTATGGGGCCAATTTGTCAAACAGATTCAAATTATACAGATGAGTATATGGTAACAGCATCAATGGAAAGGTTTTGAGCTTAAGCTGGTGCTTCTTTATCAACCCAGGAGGCTATAAAGGGACATATTTCTACTGTCCAAGGTGGCCATCAACTGCGCCTGGTCATTACCAAAGATCTAGCTATGGTGAGTACCCGCCCCTCTCCCTAGTGACGATGGTATGCTCACATCAGAGGCCCACCTCGATTCCTACCTAAATCCTCTATGGGCCTGCAAAAATTGCTTTGGGGGCAATGCTCTCCTTGAGAATTGCATCTCTATCACCCTTGAAACGGTGGCCCTCGGAAAACCTCAGCCAAGATACTGAAATGTTGCTAGATATCTGCAACACTCTGAAACGCAGGAGATCCCAGGAACCCTATCTCGAAAATGACTTACACGTCCACGTAGGAAATATATTACCCGATCTCAGTTATGGTACTGTTTTAATTCTTGCGCTGATGACTTGGCATTTTGATGCTTCATCTTCTAAAGCATCGCAGGACTTGATTATTTTCGCTGTAAATCCGGATTTGCTCCGGTTCTCTTCTGTCTTGATCTCGCCCAGGATGACAGGGTTCCCCACTTACTTGATATTTGGCCTGCCCCAACTCGAACCAGATTGATGGCAAGTCTCTATCGGTCGTTTTTCATATAAAGACGGACATTCCTTCCAATTCGCTTTGTTCCATTCTCTCCCATCCCAGGCTAGTTGCCCATTGCAAATTTCATCGAGAGCATACTGATCATCCCCGCTTGTTGTCGGCTTCACGGCTCCACATTACGAGAAGGTATCTAATGTTCTGCTCAATATCACCCAAGCACACCTGGATTTGCCGCTATCGTGGCAGCTAACACCAATAATAAAATAGTGAGACTTCCAATATAATAGCAGTTGCAGTCGAGAATGCCTTCTTAGATACCCTCTCCTTCAATGCAATCCGGACCTTCGAAGAACAGGAAAAGGAGGTGGACAAGGCGACCTTAATTACGATCGCGGATATATTTGTCCGGCATAGTATATATAAGAAGCTAGGAGCCGGGCTCCTCTATCGCCACGATATACTCTAAGACGGAACTGTGATATTCCACGAGGTTCGATCCCGAGCATCTAATATCTGTATCCTAAAAGCTCTCTCGAGTATCGACATAGACAAGATCGCGCCGAACTCGTGGTTCCTTAACCAAAACGGACTATTCCAGATATTTAGGTACAATACCAGCGGCGAGGTAACTCGTATCGACGCAGCTTTTGCCTCGGACCTTACCGGGTTTCTGAAAGCTTATAGCCTAGAGAAACGGCCGGTTAGTAACTACCTAGGTAAAAAATCGGGGTGCATGGATAGGGACCTCGGCATACCTACAAAAAGCCCCCGGGGCCTGTATTTTGAATTAGTTAGCAATGTCCGCACAAATTGGTAAAACGCGGATTTTATGATGTTTTATTAGTTAGAGGTACATAAATTGATTTATCTTACCATACCTTGCTTTGCCTCACATTTTCTGTCAATAAGAGTAAGTAAATTGACGTAGTAGTAAAAGGAAATTAGTATCTTGGCATCTCGGTCTTTTCCGTTCCTCTCTCCTTCCACTTAACCGCGCAACCACACATCTCGCCTGCGAAAAGGGATGAGCTCCGTGATATACTTTACAGTCACCGGACTGGTGCCCATGTGGCTAATTTGAAATTCAGGATCATGTTGCCTGGTAGGGGGAATAGGGGCACGTTCACAGTTTGCGAGCTGTTAAGCGAACCGTGGGCGTTTTGACCCCGTGGCGTTTTAATGGCTGAGGATAATTTCAATCGGTGATTGTCTGCTATCTGGTATCGGACTGAATTCCTCGATGTACAGCGAGTGTTGTGGCCAAAAGCAAAGCCGGGCATCCAAGATGCAAATTGTCTCGAACACTAATCACGAATATCCGAAGCAAAGATTTATATGTACAAAGTATATATAAATTATGAAAATAGGCTTACAGCAAGAATCACTTGAGTCCACCTTAGTCCACTCTAAGACCATTTAGTTTCCGATCATTGGTTCATTCCCAATGGGGCTGTAGAGCAACTCTCCGCAGTTCTCCGCAATCGAGTATTTATATTCTCGTGAGCCCCTATTTCCACCTTTGAACTGACAAACTCTTCCAACTTCTAGTCATTCTTTTGTATATTTTTGTTTTAAATCACTTTCTTTGCATCATCAGTCACTCCTTAAAACTTTTCGATTGAGCAAAAGAAAATGATAAAGATGATGCGCTCCGTGATCCCGCTGATCGTCTCGCTCGCTTCGCTTGTCGCTGCTATTGAAATCACTAGCCCCGCTACGAACACGACCTACGCAGCCGGGTCCACCGTCAACGTCGAGTGGACTAGCGTTGATACCGATCCTACCAATTTCAGTCTTTATCTCTGGAACTTTGTCTCCTGGCCTCCATCTTATGTTCCGCTGGCGATCGACGTCCCCACGTCAGATCTGTCTTACTCTGTCCAAATCCCCTGCGATACCACCCCTGACTTTGGTTACCAAATCAGCGGTATCAACGGCACCAACGTTTACATCATCTACGGGCAGGGTGATAAGTTCACCGTCCACAGTGCCGACGACAGCACCGCCTGCGTGGACACTCCTTTGCCGACTACTTCCACCTGCCCCAACGCTGCGGCGTCTACCGTTTATGTTACGGTGAGCTCTACTCCCAGCTCCCGTCCTTTCCATCATCCATCCCACGCTCATCATCATTCCCACGTCCATCCTTCTCCATCACCCAGCACTGCCAGCACCTTGACCTCTGGATATACAAAGCCTGGAATCGTGCCTAAGACTATAGGTTGGTGCTCAGACTATTCCCACCCTGTAACCTTGGACAAGGTTCCGGCCCCGACTCCGACTCTTTCGGCGCCCAACGATACAAATGGATCTGATGCTTCGCCGGTCGTCACTACGGCACCGAGCCAGGCCACTGGTTCCCCTCGTATCCGCACATTGACTCTCACTAACACTGTGACCGTGCTGGCTTGCCCGAATGTGTGCACAATTTGATGGAAGTTTCTTTATCCGAGCAACCGGTGACCAGTTCTTTATGCTGATGTATTTTATGTAATATTGAACGAGAAGGAAATTATTCAGGATAGATCGAGATCAATTTCCCCCTTGTACTTTTTGATTGTTTCTCGAATTCTTTTCTGTTGTTTTTTTGTTTTTTTGGTGATGCTAGGTGTAATTTAGCCAAACATGGAGGCACGCTCACGCGTTCTGGGATATTTTCGTGTTTGCACTGGTCTCCCTATGATGATGATCAACATGAAGACTGTTTGTTGTTCGGCATACACACAGCTCCACCCAATATGTGGATCACCCTCTCGCCGATCTTGGATCAATAGGGTTAGCTGGACTTGTTGCAGAGCGATCAAAGAACATTCGCCATCAAGTTGCTCGTATAGGTGACGGTTGACCTGAGAGAGACGAGAAATACCAAACTCATCTAGGAACCCACTTATCGATAGAAGCACAATAGACGAAAAGATCTAGTGATTGGGTCCGAGCCTAGTAAGCTCCAGATCCAGTTCCGCGACCTGCTTTCGTGATGTGTGCAACGATGCATATAATATGTCGAATGTACATTTATATTAAAAGAGTTCCTCGTAGTAATGATTGTATGCTTTGCTAGCATCATTCATAACCATGGAGACTTCTTACCTTATCTTTCAAGTGCATTGTGAGGGCCAAGTGGTCTTTTGGGATGGACTTAGCGTGAACTGAGTGCACAATAGAGTAATCAAACACACTCCCGAGGTCAGTGGGCCTCACAAACTGTCACGTGACCACCCTGAGCTTGAGCCCGGACTGAGATTTACCGAGTCGGACTCTGAGCTCATAAGAGCGGCCAAGATCCATAGGAAAGCCCCACAGAGGAAAAACACTAGAGTTAGCTAGCTGGGTACTAGTAGGTATGTAGGCAGACTCAGTGACAAAGTGGATCTCGATCAAATCGGAGCTCAAAACGCGTTCACATGTCACCTTTTACCCATTTTCTTATAAACACTACATCCATTGTACACCAAAGACTCACCTGCCAAAAATAATTCAAACCACTCAAATCACCCAGCAATCTACAAAGATGCACGAAATCCCAAACTACCCACAAAACTTGCTGGACAGAGTCAAAGCGGCCAAGCACGGTCCCTCACTCGATTCCAACGCCAAATACGTCTTCCATGTCATCCACAGGAACGACGACGAGGATATGCAAGCATTTGAGGAGGTAGACTCTGAGGATGAGGAGATGGATGCCGAGGATGATGACACCGAAAGGCAATCAACATTCGACACGCTTGAGGAGGCCAACAATGCCGCTTTGGCCCTTTTCAGAAGCATGTACATGGATTTCTTTGATCAGGAAAATGATATGTCCAACTGGTATGAGGAGGGAACCAGCGAAGAGCAACTGAATGAGGTGGTATGGAAGGTCAATGCCGACGGGGAGGTTTCGTTGAAAGCCCACGAAACCGAGGATGAGATTATATACGAGATTTATGTTTCTGCATCAAAAGTTTAGGACTTCCGAGAGATAAAACAAAAGGAATAGCAGGAGAGGAAAAGCAAAAGTAAATCCTGTTCTCATTGAAATTGTGGTTTCGTTCAAAGTCTCTTCTAAGTATGGGAAATGTCATGCTGAGAATCCAAGTTGCGAAACATGCAACATAACACACCGAACCCGATCCCCCTCATGGTTTACTAGAAGTATCAGTGAGGTTAGAAGTAGATATTTGAATAGAACAAGGCTAACTCACGGCGCGCGGGGCTTCGTCACTCTGCCCGGGGTGACAGTGAGCCCAAGGAATTCATGCGGCTTTCTCTTCTAATGATTATCAGTATGCCGCAATTTGTCCGAGGATGATTGTCTCACCATATGGTCACGTTTGATATGGGCACGGAGCTTCACCACTTGAGGGTCGGTTGTATCGAGATTATCGAATTTTGGGCAGTAGGGACACTTGTAAGCACAGGGAGGAATTGTCTAAGATCAACGGGGATTAGCATCGGATTGCGATGTAATATTTAGGCATTTATACGCACGATGGTTGCATGCTCCATAGGCCATTGGCTTGCCTGATGGTTATCACACGCGCAGAGCTTCTTGTTCTCCTGACTGACAAAATCGGTTAGTCGTACTCAAAAGCCTGATTCAAATTGATGCTTACATCCATTTGGTTGGCGGCACGTCCCTGTTTGACTTCCAATAGTGACCATGCATCCCGTAGTAAGTATCCTCGATATTTTCTTCAGTCGGATGGGGCTCTGGTGTATCGTTGGTCATGGTGGCGGTGGTTGGGTAGATGTGGTTCTGAGGGGAATCTTTGAGCGAGGTGATATCGACGAGAAAGGATAAAGTGCTCCAGCTGAGGATGGCTTACCAGAAGACTTGGAAAGATCAGGTGGGGGATAGCAAAGCTGAAACAAAACGGAAGGAACCGAAAGAGGAAAGTGAAATCGACACAAACAAAATCCTCCATCTGATATGGATCAGCATGTGTCCAGGTGGCTTAGCCTGTATATTTCCACGAGAAGGAAGAGGATAGGAGCCTTTTATAAGACATATCATAACAGGAAGGAAATCATCATTGTAAATTCACAAGGTTCTCGCCCAAGTATTCACAAAACATACTTGAACAGCGGCGACTTGTCTCCCATATCGAACAACTGATCTTCAGTGTAGTTAACTCTGGCATCGTCTGCAAGCCTTTCCTTCTTTGCATTACCAATCTTGTAAGTCCATTCAAGGAACAAAGCAACAAAGAATCCAACCCCACCAAGTGCCAGACTAAGGCCAAATCCAGTTGGGTACTTGGGACTCTCCGTCTCAATATACATGAAGCTGCCCAGTATACCACCAATATTTCCGACACAGTTCACGAGCGCGATCCCCATAGCTCGTCGGGACGCTGGAGCAATGTTGTTTGCATTCCATGATGCAGCTCCGGGCTGGATGGGGTAGATACCTATGACAGACAAGACGACTGCAAAGTAGGCCACTCCTTTCTTTTCCTCGAGGGCTCCATTCAGGGACATTATGATCGAATAAGCCACCACAACAATTAGCATGGGGATGCAGACAAATGGCATTCGCCAATAGAAGCGATCAGAGAACCGTGCAAATATGATAGCAGATATCGCGCCGGCAACATAGGGAGGAGCAGATGTGAGTTGGGCATTTGTAGAGCTGAAGCCCATGGCTTTCGTGATAGTTGGCATGGTGAACTTGGTACCTTAGGGAGAATTGAAGTTAGTCCAGTGTGTTGTACGGAGTTTGAAGGTCTGATACCATAAGACAAGGCCGACTGGCAAAACAAAAGGTACCCTTGCACGTATATTCTCCAGTTAAGGAGGACCACCTTGAGGTCTCTCCACTTGAAGCCTGCCTCCCCCGTACTAGTTCCTCCTTGCTTGATGAACATTGAAAGCTCCAAATAACGAATTTCGTCAGGAGATAACCAGCGTTTGGATAAAGCTGGGGTGTCGATGAGGAGAAAGAAACAGGAAATACCTAGTGCCACACTAGCAAGGCCTTCCAGAATGAAGATCCACCGCCACCCCTCAAGACCACCAATGCCGTCCATCTTGGCAATGGCGGCGGCCAGCAGACCAGAGAAAGCACCGGAGAGTGCACTAGCACAGTAAAAGTATGAGATGCGAAGCGCCAATTCCCTAGGCATGTACCAGTAGGAGCAAAGGTAAATAGCACCAGGGAAGAATCCAGCCCTATAAAGCAAAGTTTTAGCACAAAAAGCAGAAAGTGGTTGATCAGTATCACTGACTCAAAAGCACCAAGTAGAACTCGAGTGGCCATTAGACCAGCAAAGTTTTTAACCAACCCTGTGCATGTCATGACAATACCCCAACTCAAGACAAGAAGGCCGAGATACATCGAAGGGCGCTTGAACTTTTTGAGTAAGATGTTACTAGGAACTTCGAGTAGGACGTAGGGAATGAAGACTATATATAGCACGAACATCAATACATCTCACAAGACACTAGGCTGGCTGAGTGCAGGCTGCTGGAAGCGAACTCACATATAGAAAGGACAGTATTATACTGTAGCCCAGTCATATTGAGATCTTGGACCATGCCTTCGATTTTGGCATTACCGATATTCGCACGATCGATGTGGCACATCAGGTACAGAACTGCGAGCATGGGGATTAAACGCATATCGACCTAGATGAACAAAGCTCAATATAAGTGCATAGGGGTGTCAAGTATGCTCACCTTGTGGAAGACCTTTTTTCGTTTCTCTTCCGGATAGTTGTTATAGAAATCTGCGTCGTCGGGAGTCAAACCGACGACACGAAAGTCTCCAATCTGAGTGACGAGGGAAGGTTTGGGGATGTGCTCAATATGAGAAGCTTGATCAACGATCTCGACATCATCTTTACCGATAGAGCCACGGTTCATATCTGCGGGTTTTGAGTAGTATACGGCCTTCGGATACTTCAAATAAACCAAGCTGGAGGGAATTCCTGTAGATTTAGGGTCTCAGAAGATAAGTACAAGCACATCAACTGAAAGGAAGCCAGGTAGGCTATATAGCGAGGTACGTCATATCGGTTATCTAAATACTAGAATAGCGGAATGGTTTCATTGTTTACCCCAGTCTTGGCCGTCTATGCTCCAATAGCCAAGACATGCGGGGAAGCTTGGCCATTGAAGATGATCAAGTGATTTCCAGAATTAGGCTGAGCGATCTATTGGGGTGACCAATAGTGGTCTCTGCCAAGTTGAGCTTGTTGATAGACATCCAGTCAGAGCCCGACCTACTAGGGAAAGCACAGACAACCACCACGACTAGACATGCGGGATGTATCCTTTCTCCAACAGAACTGTGATGGACCTTTCTCCGATTCTTTATCCGAACCATTCTCCGGGTCATTTTCCGGTACTATCTGTTCCGATCTCATTTTGATATACGGAAAACTGCTATTTCACATGTCTAGTCCGAAAGGATACATTCCAATATCCATCGGATTTTTATGCCTGGAGAACATACGCTAACACGAGACGTTACACTGAGTATCTGGTCTCCTCAAGAGGCATCTCTCAAGCCGCAATCACAAAGATCAACAGCCAGCCGGTGGCATTTCCAAATTTCGTTAGTGGGGAATTTAGTCTTGCACAAGCCGCAGTATAATTGAGATCTTAAATTCGCACGTGGCTTAGACTAATGGCTCGGCAAACTGGCTCGACTAAACCACTTGAAAGGGCATCTAGGAAGATCAAAAGCCTCCTCTTGTACGACAACTCGGCGGCGGTTGACCGTACACGCTGAGGTCTAGGTGGGGCCAGGATATATAACCACTACATACTTTTGGTCTTTCCCTTTTCCCCCTCTTATGCTGTCTGGCTCGATTTCAAGACAAGTTACCGAGTCTGGTGAGTAACTCGCCCGTTAGTCGAGTGACAATATGTAAGTACCCCGCATACCTCTTCTGTGAGTCCTAACAGGCCGGACAACTTCCGCCCGGACAAGAAAAGCGCTGCGCTAGATCTAGGCGGGGTCAGGAAGCAAGCTAAGATGCGCATAGACAAACATTTATGTTCAGGGATATATTGATCCCAAGGGTGATGTTGACTCGCTTAGACAGAGGGCCGAGGCCATAAAGGTACTGTGCGGTACGTTCTCAGACTGGCACATGTTCACTAGCGTGTGGGATGAGAAAAGAAGCTACCTAGGATCCATGTAAATGAGGAAATTTGGGGCGATCTGTGCACATAGTATTCATGCCTAAATGGCCCAAAAGCGTAATCCTCGATATGACCGCGTTAGATTTTGTGAAGGGGCTGTTTCCTTCCCATAGCAATCAATTCTATATAAAAAAACAAAAAAAGTCTGTTCATGACATGCAGCCGTATCAACTTTCAATGATACATATCAATTTGCATACATGTATTATGCACGAAACAAAATATATCACTCAGAACTCGATCCGCCATATCTTTCCAATGGCAACATTTGGCTTCTTCACCACAACATACGATGCCTTCCCGCCATCCTGCTCGTAGAACTCCAACGAGGCTGTAGAGCCGGATTTAGCTCCATCTTCAATGACAGTCACGGTGTCTCTACCCTTCCATTCGGCGGGAGGGTCAACGACCACCACCCGCTCGACAGTCACACCAGACATGGTCTTGAGGTACTCAGCAGTCTTGGGTCCCTTGGTTCCAATGTCCTCCGACGACAACACCGACTCGCGGTAGTTGAAGCGGCGGTGAATGTAGGCGCCACGCTCATAGTCGAATGTCTCGCCATCATCCACGTACAGAGTGCCTTCTGCCTCGCTGTTCTTGTCTAGCGTAATGACCAATGTATACGGATCCCATCGCATGAGACCGGTGCTGCGACGAGGACGGTCCTTGCGGGGAATAATGTGACCACCCTGGATCAGCACAGGCACCTTCTCCTCTGGCGCAGGGACGGTGTGTTTCTTGCCCGCGCCCTGGTAAACGGTGAAGTCAAAGTAGTCATAGTACTTCTCGTCGTCGGAGATATACACGTCCGCACTGTAGGTGTTATCCTGCACAACAGGCTTCACGAGAATACCCGTGGAAGCAAGGTACAGTTGATCATCGATGGCGAAGCCTTGCTCGTCCTCTGGGAACATGTAATACTGAGGTCGCACGATTGGCGTGCCGTTGACTGATGCTTCATGGAAGGCAGTGTACCAAGCAGGCATAAGTTGGTACCTCAGGCGGATTGCCTGAGCGATGTAGGACCGGTGCGGTTCGCTGATCAGATACGGCTCACGACGACGAGTATCAATGTGAGCATGCGCACGGAAGAAGGGATACCAGATACCTGTCTGGTACCACCGGGTCAAGAGGTCCTTATCGGGGTTATGGAAGAATCCTCCGACATCTGCGCCGGCAAAGGGGAAGCCTGCGATACCGTTGTTCAGAACCATGGGGAGAGAAGCTCCCAGGTGGTCCCAGGTGGCCTGGTTGTCTCCAGTCCACATAGCAGACACCCGCTGGGCCCCAGAGTAGTAGGAGCGAGTCAAGATGAATGGCCGGCGCACCTCACCCTTCTTGCGCTCCAGCATTGCTTTGTAGGTGGCGTTCAGAAGGGTAAGACCGTTAAGATTGTGAATATCGCGATGTTCCCAGTTTCCATGGTGCAAGTTATCCTTGGGCATGGTCATGTCCGGCCCGTTGAAAACGGAGGGTTCATTCATGTCATTCCAGATGAAAAGATTTTGAAGAGATCCTTTGAACTTGTCGAATTTGTGCAGGGTGGCCCACCAGGCCTGTGCAGCGGGGTTAAAGCAGTCGACCCAGTTTGAGGAACCTGGCCAGCACCATCCATCATATATCTCGCCATCCTTGTTTAGCACAGCGAGATTTTTGCTTCTAAGCTCCTCGGAAACAAAGTACTTGTCCGAGTTCTTAATGTGAGGATCGATCAAGACCACAAGCTTTCGCTCAGTTTCGTCAAGCTTGTGCTGCATACCCTTGGGATCAGGGAAGGTGAGGGGGTCCCAGGTAAAGTATTTCCGGTCATCGGTATATTCAAGATCAAGCCAAATCACATCGTACGGAATCTGGTACTTGTCAAACTTGGCGTTGACTTCTTTGACATCCTCGTCCGTAACATAGTTCCAACGGCATTGGTGATATCCAATAGCAAACTGCTGGGGCAATTGTGTATATCCCGTCAGTTCACCATATGTTTTACTGATATCATGTGGCGAGGGGCCGAGGAAGACGAAGAGGTCAATCTGACCGGATTCGGACATCCAATGAGTCTGGGTATCTGTCTTGGAGCGGGCACCCAAGGCAAGGGGGTTAGGGGAGGCGGTCGACTTTACAATATCGATCCATGTTTCTGCTGCATTGAGCCAGAAGACACCGACGGTGGAGTTCTTGCGGTGGGCTTGCATCAGCGGGATGGCTCCATACAAGGTCATCGGGCTTTCGAGCTCATACTCGAAGACGTCCGAGTTGTACAGACGGTAAGGGTTCTCATGGTTTCCAGATCCACCTCTGGTCTCCTTGAGCGAGAGCGAATCTGCGTGCTCTGGGATACCGAATACATGACTATAACCGGGGAATGTGACATCAAGAGCAATACTCTCGGGACCACGCGGCTTCGAGTCAGTATTTCCTCCAAACGTCTCCTCCCACCAGGTGCTCTCGTCCTCGCCGGTTTCGCCGTCTTTGCCCTCTACCTTCGGTCGCCAGTGCTCCATGTTCAAGAAGCCTTGGTGGTTCAATTGGACATGGGTCTCTCCGTCTCGCTGAAATTCGACCCCAAATGGAGCGTGGCGAACGATTGCTTGGAATTTATCGCCCGGTCCGTATAAAATGTTGGTGAATCCAGTTTCGCTCTGAGCATTCAACGTGGCCGACTTGCTAACTTCCAAACCACCCACTATCGCCCATTTTTCAGTTTCATCATATCGCTTCTTGTTCGCTTGGCTGCCATGTCGCATTTCAATGTCGCCCTTCAGCCGCTTCTCTTCATCCACCACAATACGGGCGGCTCCCGATTCCAAGAAAGACACCGTGAGAGGTAGCCGGACCTTCTCATTGGCAGTTGTTGTTTTGACAATGACTCCAGTAAGTATTCCATCTTTGAAATGTACGGTGGCAGGGTCGAGCTCGTAGGGTGAGCTCCATGAGGTGCCTTGGGAGGAGGCGTTATCGGCGTAGGCACGGTTTCGTTTGCAGAACCCGGACTGCTCGCAAGTCTTGAAATCCTGGTGTTTGACCGCCACTGTTTATAGCCCGTGAATTAGCTTTCTATAATCTTGCAATTCGGCCGAAGGCAGCCTTACAACTGGGGGCGACAATGCATCCGAGGAGGATTACCAAGGAGAGCAACATTGCCCAACGGGGCACAGGTAGACTCCTGGCCATGGTGAAATAAATAGTATGATCAACCAGAGACCCTCAATCTCCAACAGAATGGCGTTGGTTATCAATGATTGACCTGCATTTAGAGGTGGAGATGCCGTCAACAGAAGCTAGTTAGTTACAAGCTGGCCTGAGCTGGGGTAAGACACCTAAGGCAACAAGGCAGCCACAATAGCTTCTGAACAGCCAATCAGCTTGTTTTGTTTTTAAACCAATCGGTGCCCATGATATGAACATTCTACTCCGTATGGAGTACTGCTCCTACATATACATTATGTACCTACATATGTACGTAGGTAAGTATTATAGGTCAACCATTTAAAGATTAAGGAACTTGATGTGTGATACCAGCTAAGTCTCAGTCTGGATCTCCCCACAACCTCTTCCGGCCTCTATTAACCACTATTCATTCAAATACTTCGAAGAGGTCGGTCCACCCTCGGGTTTACATTTTAGTATCTCCCGTAAGAACTGATAGATCAATGATATCAATAGAAATGTTTCGGGTTTCGGTATTAGATTTCCTCTCCAAGATTTGTATGTACCTAGGTGAACAGGATAGTACCTCCTAACAGTGTAGTGAGCACAATCTCCTCCATCAATCTGCACTGAAAAATCGAATATCCCCAAACTATAAATTGGAAGCCAGTGTGAGAGACTAGGACTAGGATGAAAGTGCAAATTGTTCTGCAGCTGAACTTCAGGGGAAACGATCGGGCACCGGGCTAGATACAAGTTGTTACCCCTGTGTCATTAGAGATCTTGACCGTCAAGGTAGGAATATATGTCCATATTCGTATTGAAACATTTTTTTAGGAATAAATATTGATATCTTTGTAATTGAGTGTTGTGAAGCAAAAGAGTGTATACAACCTTTCAATGGTAAGGTTGACCCCTAATGGCCTTAGAAATATGGCAGCAACACCCCTCCTTGGCCACCAATCATCGGCCCAAGTGGGAAGGCCCGAATTTTTTAAAAGCCTCTATTTAATCTTCCCCTCTTCCCGTTCCCTTCTCCTACTTCATACCTGAATTATTATTCTCATACATTCAAAATGTCCGCCAACCAGGAACAGACGTATGTGCTTCAAAATCACCATTCCCCCATCCTTCCTTTTCTTTCGATTGTCATTACCCCTCATTGCCGGTCAAGCTAATCGATTGCCTAGTTTCATTGCCATCAAGCCCGATGGTGTCCAGGTACGGACACAGCTCCATTCGACTCGAATCTATAACGGATCTGGAAGAATTTACGCAATTGAACAAAATTTACTGACAATTTCGACAGCGTGGACTCATTGGCCCCATCATCTCTCGCTTCGAGAACCGTGGCTTCAAGCTCGTTGCCATGAAGCTCACCTCCCCTAGCCAGGAGCACCTCGAGAAGCACTACGCTGATCTTGCCACCAAGCCCTTCTTCAAGGGTCTCGTCGCCTGTTAGTTGCCTAGCCCGAACTGTTCCGCGAAACACAATACACTAACACAGCTCTAGACATGCTGAGCGGCCCCATCTGCGCTATGGTCTGGGAGGGCAAGGATGCCGTCAAGACCGGCCGTGTCCTCCTCGGTGCCACCAACCCCTTGGCTTCCGCCCCCGGTACCATCCGTGGTGACTTCGCTATCGTAAGGAACTCCCCAATGTTTGAATGTCGCGTCCTTCCATACTGACATTCCCTAGGATGTCGGCCGCAACGTCTGCCACGGTTCCGACTCCGTCGAGAACGCCAAGAAGGAGATCGCCCTCTGGTTCGGCGCCTCCGAGGTTCTCAAGTACACCTCCGCTCAGTCCGCTTGGGTTTACGAATAAATTCCTCGCCTCTAAGTAGACTGGTCAGGCGGACTTCCTTGTCGGATACTTCTAGCATAGAATAAAGCAGCGGTGATGAGGACGAAGTCCACCGGCTTGGAATAATAAACAATATACAAATTCATATGTATGCTCTATGAATACGTTATCTGGTATTACAGTAATGCTCGACCGGCTCATCTTCTACCGAAAAGCCTCCTAGCTAGGTTTGCTGTAGGTGCAAACACCGTCCTTGCAAACCAGGGTGTCGCCCATACACTCGCTGCTAACCGGGCTGGCAGCAAAGCTTTCGTGATCGCATAGGCCGTGGCAAATTCTAGCACCAATCGAACTCCTGCTCGGTCCACTGTTTTCTCCCCAGTGGTTTCGTGTCCCGCAACAGTATTCACATCGGCCTCATCCACCCAACCTTTCTTTTTCAGCCAGCGCCCGAAACGTGCAGCTCCTTCGTCGAAGGAATTGGTCTCGCCTGTCTGCGATGCAAGATCCGGCATCCAGACTCCGTAGTGAAATGCGCCAACCAACCCAAATAGGGGAAGAATGGCAGTAATTTCGTGAAGTATCAGGAATGATGTGATATGGGTGACCGGCGCTCCAAGTAAGGGTGTCGTGTATGTGCGGAGAAAGCGAGGAAGACGGTCATTAAACCGGCGTAGGCGAGAACGAGAGTCATTGGAGCTCGGCTGTAACGGTTTTGGTGGATGTGGAGGAGAGGGAGTGGAAATATTTCGGCGCGACGCATGCGATCTAGTGTTTCGAGCTGTTTGCAGACGGAGATAGCGGAGAAAATTGGGTGGTCGGGAAGCCATGGTTTCGTGGAGGGATTGGCTAACTTGCAGAGATCAAGAAGAGAGAAAAAAATATATATGTCCAATAAAAAATCGTCCTCCGACAGCCAATATACAGGAGTGCAAAGCAGTTAAGTGCTGGTTTTAAGCTCGTCGATCCCGAGATATTGGAATGACGATTATCTCGCTGAGTCAGCTCAAGCGCTGCCACTTTTTGCTCACTCTAGCTCTTAGGGCTCAAGCTAAAGTCACTCATTGCATAGAAACAGTATTTAAGCATTTAGATTAATGTAGCGTATTTGCAATAGACCCTTATAATGCGTGATGGCCACTCGGCAGCTGTAGACATCACCGTTCCCGATACAACTGGATCCACTTTTTCCCGAATCCTCTCTTCTTCATCCAACCCCTCCCATTGCCGACTTATACACTCAAAGGAAGCAATGGAGAAGAAGATCACTGAGAAGATCGCGGCTCTGCCGCCAGATGCCAACTACTTTTCCTTGGAGTTCTTCCCTCCAAAGACCCGGATGGTGGGGGTTACCCCGCGTGCTGAATGCATTCATGAATATTTGCTAATATGATCTACTATAGGGTTTTGCCAACCTGTCCGCGCGTCTGGAGCGGATGGCTCAAGCACTCCGTCCTCTGTTCGTTACGGTTACTTGGGGTGCCGGCGGTAGCACCGCAGCACGATCGCTCGAACTGGCGGAAGTATGCCAGCGCCAACTGCAGTTGACGACCGTCCTTCATCTGACATGTACGAACATGAGCCGCAAACTGGTGGATATGGCTCTAGATGAGGCTAAGGTTCTCGGAATTCGCAACATCCTGGCCCTGCGAGGAGACCCGCCCCGCAGTGAGGAATATAACATGCACGGAGAGGATGATAGCAACAAGGATTTCACTTTTGCCGTTGATCTGGTACGATATATTCGCGAGACACATGGCGACTACTTCTGTATCGGTGTTGCCGCATATCCAGAGGGCCATCCTGCCGACACGTTCCAAGACGTCCAGGATCCGGTTAGAGATATGCCTTATCTGGTCGAGAAGACACTGGCTGGAGCAGATTTCATCATGACTCAACTGACCTACGATATCGAGGGTTACCAGAAGTTCGAGAAAATGCTTCGTAACCATGAGTCTGGTGCTTTCAAGACCATCCCCATCATTCCGGGCTTGATGCCCATCCACAGCTATAAGATTTTGACTCGAGTGACTAAGCTCAGTCATGTCACGATCCCACCTCCTATTGCCAAACGCATGGAAGAATTGAAGCACGACGACGATGCGGTCAAGCGCGCAGGTGTGGATATTGTTAGCGAGATTGTGGGTGGTATGAGGGACATTCCGTCCCCAGGGCCGCGAGGATTCCACTTCTACACCTTGAACTTGGAGAAGACAGTATCATTTATTCTGGAACAATGTGATTTGATCCCGTCGTTTTCAGATGCAGGAGATGCTATTGAAGATGATTCTACATCAATTCCACTCGATTTCCCTGGACGTGTGTTGCGAAGACGCCGTGCATCCTCTATCAACTCGCAACCCCACAACCGCGTCATTGTGGACAAGTTATCTGTCCATGGGTCATCACAGGACTCCATTCACGAGGCCCAAGCAGCCAGTGCAGGCATGCCGGCACCCCCGCCAAACCGCAGCACTACTCTTCTCATCTCTGAGGGTCTTGGTGCTCTTGGCAGAGAAGCAACATGGGATGATTTCCCCAACGGACGATGGGGTGATGCTCGCTCGCCCGCCTTCGGTGAGATCGACGGCTATGGACCCTCGCTTCATGTGACTGCCAATACCGCACGTAGGCTATGGGGCCACCCAGTGGACTCCAAGGACATGAGCACACTTTTCCGACGCCACGTCTCGGGAGAGCTACACATGGTTCCGTGGTCAGAGGGCGGCGCCGAAGAGGATGGTCAGGGTTTGAATGCGGAGACTGAGCTGATTCGACCGGAGTTGTTGAAACTCATTGATGGCCGCGGCTGGTGGACACTGGCCTCGCAGCCCGCAGTGAACGGTGTACGCAATGACCACCCCATCTTCGGCTGGGGTCCTCAGCGAGAAGGGTTCGTCTTTCAGAAGCCATTTGTGGAGTTCTTCTGCTCGAACAACGACTACACCAACATTCTGAAGCCCATATTTGCTAAGCACGGCCACGACAAGCTCACCTGGTTCGCGACAAACGTCAAGGGCGATTTCGAATCCTCGCTCCCAACCCAGCCTGCCGATATGGAGCTCGATGACCTTGGCGACAATCCCGACAGTGTCAATGCTGTTACCTGGGGTGTATTCCGCGGCAAGGAGATTGTCACCCCAACCATCATCGAGGAAGTGAGTTTCCGTGCTTGGGGCGAGGAGGCTTTCCGAATCTGGGACGAATGGCGTCGCATCTACCCTCGCGGCTCTCCCACTGAAACCTATCTGGATACAACCAAGAATGACGCTTGGCTTGTGTGTGTTGTCGGTCAGCAGTTCGGTGCCGGTACCAAGCGAGGCTCCAAGGAGGAGGAAGATGAGGTCAAGTGGATGTGGCGGGTCTTGGCGGGAGAGGAGGTTTAAGAATACGTCTTTCTTCAAATCGGGATAAAGATATACCCTGTATCAAGAAGGGTTCTTACGGTTGATGGTTTAATGAGGGCAAGCCTGGACATATGAACTATGAATGGCATAAAATCTGGATTTCTGTATACTAGTCTTGACCCCATCCCATTGAGATGAATATTACGATTATGCGTACGCTCCTGCTTTTATACATATTTTATGTTGTTGATTGATAGATTTCATACGCCAATTGCTAAGCAAATGCTTCTATAAATACGCACCGTTTCTCATGCAAGGGTTTGCCAGAGGCGATCCTGACAGCTGCGGGTTTGATCACAACTTCTCAGCAAATCCATGTTCCTCAAGTCCGCTCGCATCAGTGTCTGGGGTAGCGACTTCAGACTGGGACTCGGTGAATTTTTGTATAGCATCCTCAAGTTGGCCATATACCTTGGGGAAGCGGCGGGGCTGGTTAGGCCCGTTTGCCGGGAGTTGATATCCACGTAATCTGGGAAGATTATTAGCGATTAGAGATAGAATACCACATTCGAAAATAACATACCTAGGACCTGCTCCACTACTGTCTGGCATCGAAGAGGCATAAACACGAGCAAATGTCTGAACATCCTCATCGAAGGATCCACGTTGGATACTTTCCCGTACTCCTGCGAAGAAATTATCCATAACGTGGAGATTATGGACTTGAAGGAGCGCCCAAGCGGTCATCTCCTTGGCAAGTAGCAGATGGTGGACATAAGCACGATGGTAGTTCTTGCAGGTATAGCATTCACATCCCTCACGCAGTGGAGACACATCAGTAGTGTGATCTTCAGTCCACAGATCGATTCCCAAAGGCCGAGGCTCGGACTTGTCCTCTTGCAGGGCAGCTGGAGCGGGGAAGACGAATTCCATCGCGATACCACTATCTGACGATGCGCCTAGCAGAGGCGTGGTCAGAAGATCTGCTCCAAGGGATACCTCACGCAGAATAGTGTGGGGAGTCTCGGGCTCACTGAAGAGCAACCGAGGAAGATCGGCCAACGATTCTGGGACGAATCCCAATGATGCAGACTGGTATAGCGCTAGGCCAGATATATCCCACCGGAACTCGCTCTCCAGATCATCCAGATAGAGTGACTGCTGCGCATTATCGAGAGGCAACACTGGTGCAAAATATGCGCTCTTTGATTTGTCTTTCTCTGCCACAGATTTCCCATAGAGCTGCTCCAACGCATCGCGAGTCCAGGCATGGGTCCGGTCAACCATCCTTCCCCGCCTCTTGGACCCAGGCTGCTTATTAGCCAGGTCCACCATTCCAACTGCAATATCTGGTCTCAGCTTTTGAACTGCCGTCACGTACTCATGCGCAGATAACTGGGTGAACCCGACTGATGTCAGAAGCGCGATGGAAGTCGATGTGTTCGCGGGCGGGCATGGGATCGGAGGGAATCGCCGTGGACCAAGGATCAAAGGCATATCCTCGGCCACACATATGAATTTCTTCAATGGCGACTCGTGATCTGCGGCGGGTGTCTTGTATACGGGGGCGTCCTTATTCGCGATGACTTGTTGCATGCGCTGTCAGTAATGTTGATGAGAACCAATTGTAATCATCTTGCAGTATTTTGCTTACAATCTTCTAATCCAGCATACAAGCTGCTGATCTCAGTGTGGTCGCGCATCACATCGTGTGCAACATGTGGCACTGTGCCCCGCGAAGTGAGCGGGACATGGTGCGGCGTCGCGAGGGTTTTGCGGCCTGGAATAGCCAATCTGCCTACTCTGGGCGCAAGGACTGGAGCAGAGGATGCCAGGACACTGAAGGTCATCGCTGGGGATGCGGACGTCGCTTGGTCCATCGCGTTTAGTGGTTATTGAAAGGCCATGTTTGGGGCGGCCTGGATCTTGTTCTTATCGGCCAGGAGAAATTGGATTTCCCGATAAACATCGCCCTCACTATCCTCCTTCGGAAACGGTCTTGAATTATTTTGCATATATTCGGTCGGAACTGAGGATCTTGATCTACAATTCTCAAACTTTTTGCATATAATAATTTCCAAGCATATTATTCAATCATGACAGGCACATCAGTGCCGCCGACGCGACGCGGAGCTCTCATTGTTGTCGAAGGGCTTGACCGCGCTGGCAAATCGAGTCAGTGTGAGATGCTACGGGATTCGCTCTCACGGCAAGGGCATGTGGTTAAATACATTCGATTCCCAGGTATTTGATTACTCATTTATTATAGGTGCCATTGGTCTAATAATGTCCTCTAGACAGAACGACGCCGATCGGGAAGTTGATTGATAGCTATCTGCGCGGCACATCACACCAAGACGACCATTCTATTCACCTTCTTTTCTCGGCAAATCGATGGGAGGTTGCAAAGAGCATCGAAGAAGATATTACGAACGGAACAACAGTCATTGTAGACCGCTACTCGTATTCCGGCGTTGTCTACTCCGCTGCGAAAGCGAACCCCACACTGTCATTGGAGTGGGCCTGGCAGCCAGAAATAGGACTGCCGCGTCCGGATATCTGCCTATTCCTTAGCATTTCACCCGAGGAAGCAGCAAAGCGTGGTGGATTCGGTGCCGAGCGATATGAAAATGAGGCGATGCAAACCCGCGTGCGGGAGCTCTTCCGAACGATCTTCGAGAAGCAGCAGGATGTTTCCATTATCAACGCGGGCGAATCCATTGATGAGGTCTCACAGGAGATACAAAGCGCTGTAGCTGGTTGCATTGCCCGTCTGGAAGTGACGGGCGCGTTGAGGAAATTGGAACCTCTTGCGAATTAGCGAATTAGAAATAATACCGGGCTTTGTTTCGCTTGGCTCTCATTCAATGAGTTCTGCGTCATCCCAGTCGCTGTCTTCAATCACAATCTCGAGCTTTGATGGAGGTTGAGTCGAGCGATGCTTCTGTCGGCTCTCAAAATCAGAGTCGGATTCTATATCGACACCCTCAAACCAATTCGGCCCTAGGTCGTCTTGGGTCGGTTCTTCTAGCAGTGACCTTGGTTCAATAGAAGATGACCGAGGTCCCGAAGATGCCTCCATGGCGGCAGACGCTTTGCGAACACGTTTCTCTTTCTCTTTTTAGAACTGCGCGCGCTTCTTTCTCTGCTATGTTGCGCAAGCTTAGCTCACGCATCATTTTCACCCACTGTACGGTGTTACTACACAACGGGCAGGTTCCTTGTGTGGGCACCAGGAGATCTGGTTCGTTGGTGGCGTCAAGAAATTTGGTAGATAGACATAATAAATGACTTGTGCCGCGGCAATTCGGATGTGGACACACTACTATTTGTTCTTCGTCAGGAGAGATCGACGCTTGACAGACCGTGCACTGTAGATCCTCTGGGTCTTCCAGCATGAACATTGACTTTTCGAGATAATCTTCAAGTCTGGTGTAGTCAATTGTTAGGTTGTTAATGCTTCCGACGGGTGCGAGTTCATTGTCTTGCTTGGCATCGGGCACCGTTGCAAGATTGTCGCCATCTAGGATAACCTTGATATTGTCGGGTAAATGACCATCAACACGATCATTCCAGGCTCGCCATACACGATAGACATCGCGACAAAAGAAACGGACTCGTAACGGCCAAGAGGAGAAATAAGTCGAGCGAAGCAGGGAATTGAAGTCCTCCAAATGCGCTATTAGGGATCTCCTGGTCCGAGCCCTGGGTTTTGGTTTTGGCTTTCCCGTCTTTGCATTGGCATTGGCCTTAGCTCGAGGCCTCGGGTCTAAATCATCTTCGGAATCCAGGTGCCGCGACCTTTCTGGATGTTGCCAAGCCCATCTACGCGATATGAGAAATTGAGACGCGATGTATACAAACAACCTTGGAATTCACGTGTGACTTACTCGAATTGCAAAGCACCGACTCTGCTCGTGAAACCCTCTACGACAAGGGTCATTTCCCAGGGGCGTAATTTATCTCTGGCGGTTCGCTTGGCCCCACCTTTGGCGACACCGTTGTGCTGAGGGAGTCGTCTGATCGGGTTTGGCGTCGAGCCAATGTACAGTGAGGCATGTCTAACGGTCGACCGGAGGAGATAACAACAGTAATATGCCGGGATTGGTTTGGGCTTTTCGGAATCTTCCATAATGTTTGATTTGGAGTAGTTTTGAAAAAGGGTTCGAAAATTTTTGTTCACATTGAGACGTTTAATTCAACGTGAGGCTTATCAAGTCCTTGAAATTAGCTCTGCCTATCGAATACGTGCGGGTCCTAAACGGTACCTTAGGTACCTTAGATACCACCGGGGCACATACACTGGGTCACATGATAACGTATTTTTTTTTTCCTTCCCTTTTTGTTTTCCCTCTCAAGGGGAAATAGAATTGGAGTTTAGGGATATTAGAAACATGATAGGAGGTAGTACTACGTATGTATGTAGTTTAAGGGATATGTATATATATATATATATATATATATATAAAGAATGACAACTAAAAGTCTGTATAAATATACTATGAATATACCTCATCTAATGATAATAAACATTTGAACATATCAGAAAGGCAAAAACAAATAATCCCATATACGGAGTACATATCTCCATAGTAAGCCATTGAAATCTACCAAAAATTGTCGAAACAACGTTTAGACCAATATGTATTATAATATGAGTATGATATCAGTACAATAACAGTATAATAGCAGTATAATATTAGTATAATGTCAGTATAATATCAGTATTATCACGCTAAAGAGTATATCCGAGGCTCATCCTCTATCAAATTGATGTGTCACAAGACACTATATCATCCACCACATATATGGCCTTGTAATATTGGGCTCACAAATTACAAAAAAATAATTTGAAGGGACAACGTATGATGTTCCCGTTTGCAGGCATTGCAGTATAATTACCAAAATTTCAGGTGAAACTCAGGGAATAAGCGGTACCTGAGCTCCCGATTAGCTCATTCTTACCGTAAACTCTGTACCGTACGGATCGGTACCATCGCGGCTGGATTCCAGGTCCTCTCAGGGTCACTCATTGGTTCCTTTTTTACTGGCTGGCCACACAAAAGGGACCTGGCAGTACTTCTGGAGTACCACCCCAGTCGATCTGTACTGCACATAATCTTGTTCCTCCACTCAGTAAGGTTTCTATCCCATCTATCCTTCTTTCCTCTCTGCGACTTGGGCCTCTATTTTTTTTTTCTTTGCTCTAACACCCTTTGCCCTAGTCAACTTTTTCTTTCGTTTTTTTTACTTCTCAAAGTCCATTCTCTCATATCTTTTGGTTCGTCACTGATCCTTCACCCTTCGGTCACATTGGCAGGAACCCCGGCAGCCGCCGTTCCTGATATTTATCATCACACCCTACCTTCGTCGCATTATCGTCCTTGTCAATCGGATTCCCTTAAACATACGCGCCCAATCACAAATCTCCCTAATCGCTTGTCCCATTTCGAACAATGGGAGCTCCGGCCTCTGCCGGGGCGACCTCGACGGCCGCGGAAGGCCAGCCGACTCGGTCCTCGAGCACTCATCCGTCGCACTCCCACAACGTGCCACTGAGCGCTCGCAGGTCTGCACCTCTTGACTTGTCCACCGTGGAACGGCGTGGGCAACCTAATAACCCTAGAGAGCCATCCAAGCGCATTCGTCCCCATGGCATCCCAGAAGCCCCGACTTTCCGTCCAACGGAGGAAGAATTCAAGGATCCAGTGGCCTACATTCAGAAGATTGCTCCAGAGGGGAAAAAGTATGGAATTTGCCGAGTGATTCCGCCAGAGGGGTGGCAACCGACTTTCGCAATCGATACAGAGGTAGGAACCCCTCCACCGTCGCTTCCCACGCATGATCACGTCTGACAATGGACACAGCGATTTCACTTCAAAACCCGTCGACAAGAGCTCAATTCGGTTGAAGGAGGTAAGGGCTTGCATCTAGCATATCAGTCAGCCCCAACTGGTAGGATCAAACCGGAATGCGGGTCTGACCCTCATTCAAACATAGGAAACCGCGCGAACATGAACTACGTCGATGGACTGGCTATGTTCCACAAACAGCATGGCACTAATTACAGCCGGTTACCCAGTGTCGACAAGCGACCATTAGATCTCTACAAACTTAAGAAGGCAGTAGAGAGCCGTGGTGGGTTTGAATCCGTGTGTAAGACGAAAAAATGGGCAGAGATTGGTCGTGATCTTGGATATAGCGGCAAGATAATGTCTTCTTTATCCACTTCGCTGAAGAACTCATACCAGCGCTACTTGCAGCCGTACGAGGAGTACCTGGCCCGGGCCAAGCCGGGTGTTCAACAACAGCTTGAGCTTGAGCACGGTGGTCCATACACCCCTTCGCCTCTACAATCTCCCTTGACTCACAAGCCCATGATGGATGAAAATGGCACCCCATCTAAAGTCCGTGATGACACTCCTAGCTTGCCTCGAATGGCTGCTTCACATACCCCAATGGCGTATACTCCAGTGGCACATACTCCAATGGCACATACCCCAATGGAAAAGTCCCCAGAGAAGCCGACACCACCCATCGAACCCACTCCTCCCCCTCCTTCGCGCCCCGCAGCCGCAGTCGCAGCCGCAGGCTTTACTCCTGTCAACACCGGCCTCAGTGGATTTACCGCCGTCAACCACTCCCCTTTCACCCCCATGAACAACGGCCCGGCAATCAAGCGGGAGGGAGACACCGGCGCGTCGACACCCAAAGTCGTTTCCGAGCATGCCTCTGTCTCGACACCTGTAAGCGGTCAAGATGAAGAGTCTTTGAAGCGTGCTATCAGCCGCGAGTACAGTTCTCAGTGCGAAAATGGCGATGATGATGATGGAAGCGGTCGGCGCAGCAAGCGCCTCAAGAAAGGTACACTCCCTTTGTT